GAATATAAAAGTCAAACCACCAAAACATTACCAGAATTTGAATGGAATTAGGAAATAAAATGAATTGGCTATATATATTTTTTTAATGTACATATTTGTAACAACACACAAGTGTTGGATCATTTAAGAAGATGCTACTGATGATGTAAGATGATAGCTTTCATATCAAAAGAACAGCACAAGACCACCTCCTGATGAGCTAACTACATGAAATTCAGTGGTGGGAAGGTACTTGCACATCAATGATTAAGATTCTGATGTGTGTTGACTGACCACGTGGAGAAGAAAACAGATATATTGAACTCACCTTAGAAGATTATCTTGGTATGGCAGCCACGAGTTACTGAACCCAAATCCTTGCAGCACTGAAAAATGTGGCTGATTCTTCAGAGAGAATGACCCTGGCTGCACACCTGGTGACAATGGTGTCGTGACTGCCAAAGGAGGCACAGAAGGCTCTCCAGTGGCCTACCCAAAGAAGTGCTGTGCTGAGCACACTCGACTTCATCGTGGAAGAGGAAAGGTCATAATCATCCAGGGAGACAAGGAAGGGCCCGGCACTGTAATCTCATATTCGTAACAGAGAAGGCAGTGAACATTTTATTCAGGGCCCAAAGGCATTGAAGGAAACAAGAGATAAAGCTGTGCTCCTGCTGAAAGGGTACTGACTTTCAAGACAACAGAGAAAGACCTCGGCAGTGGCCCCCTGCCCTGGCTGCTCTAGGAAGTATGTTGCGGAAGGAGAGCAGTGCTTTTCTATCTCCACTACCAGTCAAGTATTTGTACAGAACACTGGGTGCTGTATTTCCTCTTATGTGTAAGGATTTAGCACCCCACCATTATAAGTGGTCCATTGTCTTTCATAAGAAATGCCCACTTTTTCTTTGAAATAGCCCTCCTCAGCTATGCCACAGGCTGAGAAATAAAAAGCCAGGAGAACCACAATCTTTGATCAGAGAAAATCAGGACCCCAAGTCAGGTATAACTTGCCAGACTTCATGCCAGAGTCAGAACGCAGCCTTTGTCCACCAAGGCTAACAAACAGGCCAGCCTTTGTCATTTCAGCTCTCTGTGGGCTTGCCTTAATCCTGCCCCCTGCCCCCTGCCAACTTCCTGAAGGATTCTAAGAATCCTACAGGCTAAAATGGTAACTCATGTTTCTTCTTTAGCCTATAAAACAAAAAAAGTAGCTTGTAAAATTAGGTACTTACAAACCTCGTATGATTTAGGTTATTATGTTGTTGGGTTTAGAAAGGTGATTTTCCCCCGCAAACGGCACAAAGTTATAGTAAAGCAGTCTGTTGTCAGGGGAAGACTCACTAACAAGATTAGGAGATCATATTCTTCTGTCAGCCGCCTAACCAAAACTGACTGTACAATACTTAAAGCTCATATTTTAATCCAGCATCTGATACTTTCCCCCATGGAAGCACCTCTTCCTGCTTTCAATTTATTGCAAAAATTTGTAAAATACATTAAAGAAAAATCATTTTACATGTTAACACTATAGTAGTTTATTTCATAATTTAAAAATTAGATGATTTGGTTTTCTCATTGAATAGTTAACAATGTAGATCTGTACCTACTCATCAAAGACCGATATAAGGTAGGACAGACACTGACATGGTAAAGAAAACAGAACTAAAACCAATTCAGATAAACAAATTTTTTTAATGTATTAGAGAAGCTATTCCTATATGTGTAATATTCCCAACAGCTGGAGTTAACTCAGGAAAAAGGTATGTGTCTGTGTATAGACATCTACATACACATAAACCTTCTAAAAATATCTTTTACCGAAGAATTAATCTTTTACCATACTCTCTGTTTTCGTTTGGATAATAGCATGACTTCCCCAAATTTCTGACTGTGGTGAGCTATCCTCTCATCACACCAGATACTGAAGGAATCCATCTTCCAAGTTCGAATCCTCAACTCCCCAACTTTTCCCTCCATTCATTGACCGATCCAGTTGATATGAGCAAACTTTAAATATGGAGGCAATTATGGAGGAAAGGTTTCTTTCTGCAAGGATCTCAACTGAAATGACCGAGGAGCTCAGCTGGTAAAGTACCAAGACTGTCCTAATTATCTATTTATATTATAATCATAAAATTAGAGAATCAGAAGTTAACTTAGAAACCATGTGGTATACACGATTCCTTTACTTTGCAGAGAAGAGAATCTGAATTCAGTGAGCCTTTGGGTTTGGGGCCAGGTCCCACAGTTAGTCAGTGATAGGGCTGGACCTTGAGCTTAGCTCTTCTAATGCCCAAAAGAGTACTCTATTTCTACTTCAAATTGCTTCCATCATTTAACAATATCAGTCCCCACGTTAGTTAAACGTTCATAAAACTGACAAATCTAATTGGCAGGGGGCAAAATTATTCAACAATTCCTGGGTATTTTGAAAAACTGAAGATGTTCAAAAAAGACCTAAGAGAGTATTTTTTAAAACGTTGTTTTTGTTTCTTTGATTTAGAGGCAACAGAACTTGAGAAGACACTTTCAGATTAATATGTATTGATTTACTCTTCAGAAATGGTCATTTCCACTTAGAGTGACTTTTTAATGGCTGGGGTGACTCAGCAGTTTTCCAAAATCTCAAAAATGAAAAAACAAAAACCAACTCGTGTGACTATGAGAAATGAGCTATATATATTTTTTATCTACAAAATACACAGCTTTAAAAATTAAGTGTAAATAGACTTGGAAAAATAAAACACCAACTTTAAAAACTGGCTTGAGAACAGTACAACTCAGAATATAGTGAGGTTTTCCAACTTCCCCAGACATGAGATGTGCTTTCTCCCCGTGTACTAACTTTCAGCAGCAGGTTTACAACTCAGGTCATTTTCATTTCAGCAGAAACGCCCCCGACAATGGGTTTACTCCTGTCCTGCAAAAGAACTGAACACGGTCCTTCTTGGCTTGTTGGTATCTCTTGGGGCAGATGCTCACTTTCCACTTGGGTACACAATCTGAGGCTTTTCATGCTCTTTTCATGTTTGTTTCTCACGTGCCACAACTGTGAAGTTGGTGTTATGGGCTTTGCTGGGTACTAATTTTGATAATCCTAGTAGTCCAAACTCCAGCAAAAAGCACCAGTAGAGCCCCATCTGACAGGGGCTTCCCTCCTCTTTCTCCTGAAACAAGCTATATAGTTTCTTGGCTCCAAGTGACTGGGATTTACAAATCATCCATCATCCCTCAAAGGAAACTTCTATGGGGGCAGTGAAAAGTTGCCATTTGGCAAAGAAAGGTAGGGGAAAACATTGTGGGTGCCACTTAAAAAAAAATTTAATGCAAACAAATAATATTTCCAGAGTTACAGCTCTGAGTGATACATTAATGTCGGATAAAGTAGAGAAATCTAATGATAAGTCCAGGGCAAAAGAAGATGGGGCAAGTTGCAGAAAGACGTTTCGACTATTTTTATAATTTTTCAATTATTTCACAAAAATCTGTTCACCAAATTCTCTCCTTGGCGTGGCACAAAACTATAGTGAGTACGACTGTACAGTGAACGTGATCTTTAAAGGCGGTGCTGTAATTCAGCAAACTTGCCACCACCCAGCATCATGAGGAAGTGGGAGGTTCTGGTAATCAATATCATATGGATCTTATGTAGACGTCTGATTTTTCAAATAAACCTGATTTTTGGAACAAACTCAGTGCCGTTTACTCTTTCACTGAGGATCAGAACTATAACCCGAGGACCTCAGAATGCCCCGGGGGGGGGGGCAATTTCCTGAACAAGAATTAGCATCATAATGTAGAGACAAAAAAGGGACTGTCATAGGGCATTCTCCTTAACAGAACACTGGACAACAAAACTTCCTCATCAAAGAATCCATTAGATAATAACCACGTAATTTCTCGGTGGCTTTATTACTTTATTCTGTAGGTAGACCACCACAGTTAGCCAGTGCTATATCCCTCTCTTTAGTGCTAATTCCACTCACCTAAAACTACAGCAACCTAAATAAGCCATTCTGAGTTAAGTCTACTGTTCCATGCTTGATGAAATGATTTTGTTTACCACAATTATGTGGATGTCTGCATGCAATGCGTAATTAGCACAGTAATAACAAACGTGGGAATATTAGCTCTGCACCTCCGCCCCCATGTTTGCTGACTTACTGTGCATAATAACTGGTATTGAGACTATAACAGGAGCTGAGAACAGAGCTCTTAGCATCCGAAACATTTTCTAAGTGAGGCGTTTGTCTCTGACAGAAACTGTTGGACAGGGCAGTACTCATTTATTCTGTTGGCAAAAGCTCATACGTTGGAAAGAAGAACTATGACTAGAGATGGACATTAAGCATGTTCTTCAATGGATGTGAATTACTTTTCGAAAATGAAATTAGTAACAAAGAAAGGAACTTTTATTTTATTCTCCAATTTATCATCAAATGATTTTTTAAACTATGAGAAAAGCAGACTGTGACTCTGATGCTAACATGATTGGGCAGATCAGATTTACATTTAAGCACCAAGAATTTCACTTTCATGCCCCAAAGTTAAGCACTACGCATGTGAAAGACTACTATATGATATACCATTATTATTGTCTCTATTTGTTCTAGACTTACTTATAAATAAGTCTACGATGATCTACATGTAGATTTATTTATAGCATTATCTACTTTATTTATCACATTTCTACTATGTTTCTGTTATTAATAAGCGTGTACTGATCATATCTCACCAGACACTTCATCTTCAGGCTGTAATGTAAGGAATGGAAGGCAAGAACAGGAAACAATGATTTGGGGGAAAGTGGACCCATTCTTTTAGAAGAGAAACAGCAGAGTACTGATACATTACTAACACACCCAACAGAGAAATCCATAGCACAACTGAATAAACTATCAAAAGAAATGAGGCTAGTTGTAAATGGAAATATATCGAAACCAATTATTCTTAAAAATGGATCTTAAAAATGTTCTTTCATTTTCCCATTAACTAGATAATAAACTGAGAGCTAGTCTTACCAGTATTCCTTTTAGTTCATTCACTGCACTTTCAGAGCCTTTTGAAGATTCTGGCTACAATTTTAAAAAGAAGAAAAATTACTGAGTAATTCATTTTTAAAGTATCAAACAAAGATTTTTAAACGAAAAAGTGCTGGCAGCTTATACTCTATCGACTATATTTTTTTAAATTAGGTCTATGTCTTACGGTTAGGAAAAAAATTCATTAGACACGTTAGTGCTCCCAATGGGGAGTTGAATCAGAAGTAACAGTCAAAGCAAAAGGACTCAGGCTACCACCTTCGAAATATCATTTTGTTACCTCCTGTTATCACTATACATAGAAAAGATGTGGTAACCATTAGAGTTCAAAGACTGAATTCCAAATTATTCAGAATGTTTTACAATAAATGTTTCTCCACTCTCATTGCTGGCTTTGCGCCAGCAAGTGAGGACGAGGAAGGCAGCAATGCAGAGCAGGAAGCAAGCGACAGGGCAGAAAACCTCTCTCAGCTCCGCCAGCTCCAGGCGAAGGCCAGCCTATAGGGGACTGGCGCGTCTTGTTCATGAATTTCACGACAGGGCTGAGTCGGAGCAGGGACCAGCAAAGAACCCGGCTTACCAAAGAATGTTAGCATCACCGGCTATCACAGCAGCCAAAGACCTCAAAGGGTGTGTGGTCCAATCACTTCTTCTTACTTATGAGGGAAGTTACACCTTGAGGAAGACTGTATTTGAATCAGGTGTTTTGATCACAAGCCCAGTTCTCATCTGGCTACACCATGAACAGAATAATTTGAAATGAAATTCTGGGTAATACTTGCCTGCCCCACAATACCTAACAGTCTCTGTGGATCCCTCAACTAATTTAATGGAGGGAGAATTTAGCATGAGGCCCTCCGTGGAGAGATGGCTACAAAAGATCTCTGATCTCCCCTGTGCCACTTCCTTTCACAAAGGATCAAGATGAAGAGGAAAACCTACAAGACACCGTGAAAGGAATCCCTTAGGTCTTTCATTCCTAGAAAAGAGGCAAAGCTAATCTTTCTCTCATCCAGAAATGGAGGTGGTTAATGGCAACCTATAATCCTTTCCTCTCAAAAGATAACAAAAGAATAATATCCTATTTTGATTTTTTTTTAATGGACAGAAAAAGTGAGAGAGAGAGGTTTGCTGCTCATATACAAATTAGACTGAGGCATTCAACTTTCAAAGCCCTGGTTTTCTGTGAAATACACATGCCATCAGTGCCAGTCACAAGTGCCAGTCAAAAGCTCTAAGACACTAATTTTAACCACATCAACACCACCAACAACATCAAGGAATTTAGGAAATACACAGTTAAATTAGTATTCTCAAGGCAGGCTTGACTTCTGCAGGTAAACTGTTCAGTGACAAGCTGTGACTTTTGAACAGACGCCCTGGCTAAAGGCATACTCAAAAAAGTGCCGCCATGCCACTCAAGTTGCCTTGATTGCACAAGCCCTTTAAAGCTTGGACTGCGTACTTTCACACCTAGTGACATTTCAGGAAAGCACTGATGGTACTGGGGAAAGAGGTCTGTACCAAGGCATGCACTGACTATTTATTTTAAAGGTTACTGACCAGGTCATTCAGCACTACAGCTACAGAGTTTAATGATTACCAGTCAAAGAACCAGTTGTCCACTGATCCTTGTTCAGTTGTTTTCCAGATTTTGAACTGACCTTAAATAATGCGTAACTGTTGAGAGAGTCACGGCAAGAAAGAAAAAGGACAAAGTGATATTCTGAAAATGAAAGTACATAACGGAATACTGCTTACGATTTAAGAAGTTTTCAACATTATTCTTTCTAAGCTAATTTTCTTTCTTTATGACACAGCATTTTTCTCTAGTAATAGTTTGGTTTGGCTTATTCCTTCTGAAATAGTTCTGACATGAAAGTCATAAAAATGTATTCTTTTCTAAGGTTCTACTTAGACCCTGCATTTTAAAGAGTTTTCACATTTTATTCCATTTGACCCTGATGACAACCCTGTGAGTCAGAGAGGGCATTTTGTGGAGGAAAAAACCTGGGAGGCTGGGTGCAAGGACCCCAGTTCCAACAATGGTGCTCTTACTCACTCACCAGACACAAGCACTGAAAGAGTTGTGCCCAACTGTCTACACACTCAGCTTCTTGTCCAGATTAAATTCTGTCCGTTGCTTTCAGAGCACTAGCACAAGACTGAATTACTCTCCGTAGTTGGCCAAAGCTTCCATCTTACTAGATGTAAATCTTCTTTTGGAGTGGAATACTTGTTCCCTCTTTCAAACCCCTTTCCATGGACAGCCCGTATCAAGGCCATTTCTGCTTTGCCCAGCTATCTTGCCTGCCTGTGACAAACTGGCAACTTTAAAAGCCCAGCAGAATTTCTAATGAACAGTCATGACATTCAGGGACATTGAAGCAGTTGAAAAGGGGCCATCCTAGAGAGTAAGAAGGAACCAAAAAAATCTGATTTAAAAGAAGAGGAAGAAGAAAGAGAATCAATCTGTTGACACCTTCTTAGTGTGAGTAAAGAAAAAACATTTTTCAAGGAAAATGTCAGACTCTATTATTGGGTCTGTTTAAATGGGACAGATATACAAGGGGAAGGGAGAAGTACTGAACTAGACACCAGGTGCTCCTATAGACTCATAGCTGGAGCTCACCGTAGTCTGGTTTAGAAGACAGCTGCTGATACCAATACACAAGATTTTCTCCTCAAAGTGACCTGGAATACGCTTGTGATATTCATGAAAACAATCATTTAAATTTCACTATCTTTCAAAAGTTGTCTTAGGTCTGTTCTGGTATTATTATTTGATCCCCACCCCAACAAACGAAAATAGAAGCTTCAGGAAGGCAGGGATTTTTGTCTCTTGTTTACTGTTTTATTCCCAGTGCCTAAAACAGAACCTGGCACATAGTAGATACTCAGTAACACTTGTTGACTTATACAAAAGACCCCAAAATTGAAGAAACAAAGGATGTGATGATGGTTATCCGTTTGGTATAAGAGTTCCCATCAGTGTCTCCCTCAAGGACTTGGCAGCACCCTGCAAATCATGGGACTTACTTTCTGCAGTGACCGAGGTTTACTATGGATCAGAGTCCTCCTGAAACATGCTTACATGGAAGCAAAGGCATTTATGACACATTAGCCTTCACCTAAGATTTGACAGTCTTTTCATCTCTATCCTTGAACATTCATCAAATTTCAAATTTTTACTTGAAAAAGGAAACGTCAAGGGAGAAAAAGCATTTAGTCATTCCATACCTTCCCCTTCGGTCTAGCTGTCTGATTGACCGGTCTGAGATGAACTCCCTTTTTAATTCTGTCCATCATCTCTTCAACTGCTTGCCTCTTCAGATCTGTGACTTCTTCAGCTATTCAAAAAATACACACATAAATCATTTTATGCTACAAGAAAACAGCTACTTCCTCTTTCTGCTGACTTAGAAATACTGCACTATATAATTAACCACAGTCATTTTCCAGACAGTCACAAAACATCAACAATTTACTACAGTTAACTCTTTTTTTTAATAAAAAAATCTTTTAATAAAAGATTTGCTTCAAAAAATAAGAGTTAAAACTTTTAAGGTATAATTTGTAGCCTGGAAATCACCATTGGCTCATGTATGTTAAACAAAGTGGATTTGTTCCATTTGTCAGTATAATGATAGACCTGGCCTTTAAAAACCCAACTTTGTACCTAACCCCAAATAATCATTCACCTTTGCCTCAAAGATGTTTTTATAACTCATAATACATCCTATGTCAAAGAAATCAGCCCAAAGCAGGAATAACTATCAAAACGCCCATTAGAAAATAAAAGATCAAAGAGATCTTTTTACTTGTTGGAAGAAATCCACAGGCAAAAGATGAGCAGCCAATAGGTAAAATCTATTTTTAAAATGCTATCTTTTGTTTAGGAATCACATGGGAAGAAATATTTGAGCAAACCTTTTTAAAGTCTTCCAAAATTGTCAGTGTTAAAAGAAAACATACATCCAGAAATGGCTGCAATTAAGTAATTAAATTTGATAAAAAATGTCAACTGTCTATTGTCTAACCTTTACAATCTTTTGCTGCAAAAACAATAAAGCTGTTGAAATACTGATCAATTAGATGAATGCAAGTGAGGTGAGCTGAAACCTCTTGACTGGAATAGTGAAATTTGTCTCTTACAGAACAGCCTGACCAAAAAGTACTGAGTCATTTTGGAACATTTATCACCATTAATGCAGTTCTAGATCTTGTGTTTATCTCCAGCGAACTCACTGCAGCCAATACATTTAAGTTTAAATATTTCATAAAGACCTTCCTACTAGCATTTTTAATAGACTCCACATTGTAGGGCGGGCATATGGTGGGCACTCAGCAAGTATCTACCTACTGACTGACTTGCTAAAGCTTGGGGTTTAAATGGCTGTCAATATTTTTTACAATTTGAACAGAGGTAATTAAGCCTCAAAAGGATGGCTTCTAAATGGAGGCAATCACAACTATATCCCCAAGCTAATTAACAGTTGTGTCGGGCTTTGCGCCAAGGAGGCCGAAACCGTGGCTTTCTTCTCTGCTACATGGCAGGCTTCACTCTTATACATGCTGAGGGGAGCAACTAAGAGAATCCAGAAGGTTCCATTATCCTTGACTCTGCAACATCCCAATGATGGGATTACTGCTGCCTACATCACATAACCTAAGTTTTCTGACAGTCTTGATTTCAAATAGTGTTCTGTCATCTTCATAAGCCATTGAAATGCTAGAAATTCAAATTTCTCAATATCCAAATAGCACTTTTCAGCTCCAGAAGTCAAAAAGGTATCTTTTGCCAGGCAACACGGGAGACGTGGCACCAAAGACAGAACTCATCCACCAACAAATGAAAGAAAACCACTGTGGGTTGATCGACTATGTGCCCTGAAGTAGCATTTTCTCGGGTAGCCTCTGCTGATGGTTCAAAACCATCAACAAGGGGACAGAAAAAAATGACAATGGATAGAAATTCTTTCACTCACTCATTCACTGACCCACTCATCAGTATCTGAATACCTGTTACACACTACACGGTGCTTTTGCTGACTCTTTTCAAAATCAGGGGAAATAAGACCCAGATCTGTGATTCTAGCACCTGGTGTGAGTATGAAATTTATTCCCGGGAATTAAAAACATTTGATTTTCAGAAAGGCTGCCATTTTGAGTGAGACTTGGGAAGAGCTGCATGGCAACAGGAACACCGCCTACAAACAGATTAGCGCTCTGGAAGGAATGACTGAAACCCAATTAAATGCACCATACAAAAACTAATTAAGGCAGACAGATGGAGAATTATGGTCAACACCATTCAAATCTGCTGCAGCATCTAACATAGCAGGAATTTAAAGTAGTTTCTTATTTTTGCTTGCCAGAATCATAGTGATAATTCAGAGAAGTGCCACTATCTGTACTGTGTACAGACTATAAACCAGGCTTTAATTTCTCAGTCTTTTTCAAATGTAAAAGCTTAATTGGTCTTAAGGAAAAGAAATCACTCTTATCGGAGACCCTACTCAGTCAGGCACAATACAAGGCCAACGGCTAGGTTAGCTGCACAAGCTTTCTCTCTCACCAACCCTGTTTTTGAACTAGCAAAAAGCAATCTATACGAACTTCTGAACTATTAAGCAGTTCTAATAAATCTGCAAGAATCACCTACAGAGAGCTCATGGTATGTTTTATAATTCTTTTCTACAATCACGCAGTTGGTAATTGTCTCACAAAAGCATGTAATCAGAGGGACAATAGAAATATGCAGGATACTGGAGATTAAAGAAAAGGGACAAATGAAGACAAGGGGTCTAATGTTATTGAACTGCCACAGGAAAATAAAATCAAATGTTCTTTGAGTTAGTGCTTCAAGGTCAGTCTTGGATCAGAAAGCTACATGTAATTAATTGAGGCTTAAATTTTAAGACCCACTTGAAAAATAAGTTAGTTCCTCAAAAAAAAAAAAAAAAAAAGAACCACAGACAAAACCATCACCTTATTGCTCAATAAAACCTTTTGCTACTAACTAGAGGAAACGAAAATGAATTTCTAAATTCCACAGGTTTACTTTTCTCTTTCAGTAACATTTTTAAAAGGCATTAAAAAAATCCTATGCCACCATGATGTACAAAATTTCTAGATAACACATCATGGTTGAATAAGTTTAGATTTGACCTAAGTTCATAAATTTAAGAAAATTTCCTTTCTACAATGATCATAAGAGCCTGCTGAATGAGGACTTGTGCCCTGCACGGTGATTGGTACCTTGTCAATTTTTTTTTTTTTTTTGGATAACATTTTGAGTATTTTCTATGTTCTGGGTACAACTCTAAATCCTTTACATGTTGTGAGACGTAATTCTCAAAACAACCCTATGAAATAGGAACTATTATCCTCATTCTATAGATTAACAAACTGAGGTGAGAAAATAACAAATTAATGACCTAAGTATATGACAAAAAGCAGACAAACCTCTGAAATCTCAGAACTCATCCAATAAACGCATCCTTATGAAAATTAGAGTTATTAACTGCAAAGTATGTAATGATATCTTGTATTTAGACCTTAAAAACTACTTCTAAAATATTTCACAGAACTTCCTCTCAGTTTAGCTTTTTAAGAGTCATAACCTAACAGTGTAAGTTTCTCCATTCATAAGCTATGAAAAGCATACCAAATGTGTAGTAGAAGCCGTCGTACGATGCTAACATTAGAAAACACTGTGACAGCAAGACTGGTTCCTACATTATAAACACAAACTCCAAAGTGTCTCAGATGACCCCAGTGTTTGGTGCTCGACATTCATCATGCGTTTAATCACTGTTGATTTATTCATTCAATAATTGCTTTTTAATGTGAAGATTAACAAAACACTATAAACCAAGACTTTGCCAGACAGAGCAAAGTATGGATATGGTACCTATCATTTAAGGCATCATGATTTTAGGGTGGCTCCAGTTTAAAAACCTCACGAGCAATTTCTCTGTCAGTAACTCATCTTAGATTCCCAAAGTAACAATCCAGTAGCTCAAGGATGAGGGAGAAAATGCTGCCACATTTCATGAACTGTAAATGAAATATCATTTTCATCAGGAAAACTGTATGGTCGCTAACAACGGGAGTTACGTTCTAGAAGACTTTTTTTTTTTTTTTGAGGGTGCTGTTGAGCTAATAATGCAATTTACTGACAAGGGGTAAATTACTCCTTTAAGCCCTCCTGACCCTCTAAGACTTGCCAATTTTCCCAAAACAAGATCGAAACAAACAAAATTTTAATCTTAATTACGGTGTCAGGGAAAGCTTAAAGCCAGTCACCCAAAGAATACGATTGCCCTGCAAATCACCGAAGGCAGGACTTCTGAATCCTGCAAAGCCTTGTACAGAGCAGAATTTGCCTTTTAGCTGCATGACTATGCAGAGGAATAGATTCCAAAGGGCTGTAGGAGGCACGGAAATTCAATTCACACAGATAAAATCAAACCGCCTCCGTTTATAATAGTGCTGCAGGGTTCTTGCTAAGAAAGAAAAGACTAAGTCTAAACTTGGATCCATTCAACATGCATGAAAGCTGAGAGAAGCTACAGAGAGGAGAAAACCTTTAAAGAGTCTGCATCTGTTTAGGGGGAGAGAAATGTGGAAAGAACTCAAACATCAGAGCAGAGGTTGTGGGCGGGGGTGGACACTAAATCCTAACAGGAACAAAATTTGAAGCAAACTGCGATAGCAACACACAGTAATGAGCCGTTCATTCTGAATCACTGGCACTAATAAATAAGAGGAAGAAAAGGAAGAGCCTCAGAACACACAGACCGTATGCCTGGAACCTGCATGGGAGAAGTAGAAACAGAAGAGCACCTTGCTAGAGGACGGGTAGGAGGGCAATTCTGGAATGAAGAAAGAGGAGCAAATGCACAGGGGGCTTAGAGGTAATGGTCCAGCCACGAGATGAGACAGATGTAATGAGAAATGAAGCTTGAGTAAAGGCAGTGGACCATTTCTAAGCAGATGACAGGGTCTGGATTGTATTCTGATGCAGGGAGAAACACAGAAACGTGATACGATGTAGGACAATGTCATGATTCCTCTGATGTGAGAACGCCGCACTGCAGGGGTATGAGAGCGGCTGGAGTCGGGCAAGTAGACCCGGAGGCAGGTAAAGGAGGCCAAGAAGTCTGCACCCATCTGGGCTTGAACCAGGCAAAGCCAACATGCTTTGTAAGTAACAGGGGTTCTCCCCTCACCGACTCTTATTCCTTACAGTCTGTTCTCTGTTCTCTCACTGCAGCCAGTGTGATTTTTAAAATTTCATCATGTTATACCCTTACTTAAAACTCCTACTGTCCTTAGGATAAATATCAAAATCTAGACCACCGTATTCAGATTCTGGCTCCTCTCTACCTAGCAGAGTTATCTCTTGCACCCAACATTCTAGTAATACCAACTTTCAGTTTCCTAACATGCCAAGCTCCTTCCCCACTTTGGTTGGACCTTTGAATCTGTTGCCCCTCTATGTGATTTACTTTTACCATAAATACCCTGACTTCCTAAATCCACAAGTACTCAGCTTAAACATCACTTGCTAACTCCAGCAGTCCACCTCCATAATCTCTTAGATCAGTGCTGATAATCACTCCTCCACAGTGCTGATAAAAAATTATATTTAAATAATTGTATATTGAACTGGTAATTACTTATTGCTCCTTGTCTCCCCAACTTACATGTAACTTTGTCTTGTATCTCCAGTACACAGCACTGAAGAGTACACAGTAGGTGCTTGATAAAGTCCCAGTTCACCTGCTATCGACTCTAAAAAGCCTTTTCCCAAATCCCTCATTTGAAATTACTCCCTCTTTCCTTTACACCCCAAAGTACCTCATCCCTTAATGAAAACACATTTCCCAGCAAACCTCACATTACAGTGACGTGTGTGTGTCTGTTTATCTGCTCTAGACAGTTAGCTTATTGAAGGCAATGACTGTTCTTTGGTTCATTCTTATAGCTAGCTGTTAAGTTCACAATTCTCCCCCAACAGTCTGCTCATAGTTAGAGAACTCAACAAATGTGTGCGTTGTTGAAAAACGGTACACCATCAACTTCAAAAGTAAACTTAAAAAGTAGTGAGAATTACTTGTTTCTGGTTGAGCTGCCTTTTCCTTCTTAGCACCACTGCCGCTGGGGTGGGATCGCTTCCGGATCATGGACATGAGGGATCTTTGGGTGAAAGAAAAAGACCAAGAGGACATTAGTGGATGTCTTATGATTCAAGAAGTAAAATATACAGGTTCTAAATAATCAGCAAAAATTCAACTCTTCTGTAGGTACATGAATATATAACTAGAATTTTAAGTAGCCTACTTTCCACTTTTAATAAATTATTAAACGTTTCATCACTTTAAGGAAGAGAAAGATGTCTCAGCCCTCTCTGTGTAAAGCCAAACTAACTGCCAGAAGAAGGGGGCTGCTAATATTACTAATATGATACAGAGACATATGCAAAGTAACACAGATAACAGAAAACCTTTCAATATCCACATATAAAATTCACAAACAGCTACCTATGTAATACATTTGAGGGAGAGGGAAGGATGAAAGAATTTAGGCAATGTTTTTGGTAAATATCTACCTGTGAAACATAAGCGTAAAAACATCTGAATCTGCACAACACAGACCAGATATTTCAGGGATAAAATATATTTAGATCACAGTCTCTCTGGTTCATGTTTTTCAAATCTGTATAAAATCCAAATCATGATAAATTTGACCACATTAAAATTTAAAACTTCTGTATATTAAAAGAAACCATAAAGAATAAAAAGAAACTCTATAAATCAATGAGAAAAAGCACACATCCAACAGAAAAATGGACAAAACTAGAAAACTCCACAAAAAAGATGCTCACATTTCCAACACACATATAAACAAGGTACTTTACTTCATTAATTATTAGAAAAAACACACAAAAAATGTCACACTGAGGTTTTACTACACACTCTTCAAACAGGCAAGAAATTTTAAGGCTGATAATGTCAAGTGTTGATAGGTTCGTGGAGTAACAAGAATTTTCAAACTGAAGATGTATAAACTGATAGCACCATTTTAGAAAACTGTTTAGTATTACCTAGTGGGGCTGAAGATACACATATCCTATGAGCCAGTGATTCAACTTCTATATATCTTACAGAAATACAAGCACTTGTGTACCACAAAATACGTACAGGAATGTATGTAGAATTTCCAGAATTTCCCTGAACTGGTAATAACTCAAATGTCTATCAGTATCACAATGGATAAATATATTGTGGGACAGTCATAAAGTGAATTATGTTATCAATGAATATGAGTGAACTTTGCCTACATAAAATAACATGGATGAATCTTACAAAATAATATAAAGTCAAAAGAATAAAACAAAAAAGAATATACTAAAATTCTAATTACATAAAGTCAAAAACAGACCATATACATAATTAATAGTAGTTTAGGGGTCTACGTACACAAAAAAACCTTTTCTTTAAGAAAAGGATAAAAGGAAAGGATTCGAGGGTCCCATCATTGTTCAATTTCCTGATCTGGATGGTGATTACATGGATGTTCACTTTATACCATTTTTAAACTGTACATAAGTTTGTGTACATTCTACATATGTGTGATCATCCCCCTCCCTCAAAAAGGTTACAAAAAAACAAATGAATCAAGAATTCTTAAATTCTTCCAACTACACTGTAAATGTCCTCAGTGTGGTAAACTGGATTTGACAAAATACAGTCCTGAGGAAGACAAGCTGGGAAGCCAGCAATGGAGGTAAGAAAGGCATAATGTTGCCTCTAGAAAAAGGGGCAACCGGATACACAGTACTGCTTGCTCTGAGGTCAGAACTGTGGTCCTTAGCTACTATCATTTTTAGATATTTTTTTTAACCTCTCACTTCTATCTTTGGTTGTATTATTAATCCCCTCTCTAATTGCCTTTTCTTAAAATTCTCAAACACACTGAATAATCCCCCACAAAGCACAGCAAAAGGAAAGCTCTACATCCTGCTCTACCGTGTGAAGTTTCTGGGACTTACCAACTAGGAAACAATCACTGAGCTTTTGACTTCATCTAGTCTGTCTTCTTTAGGCTCAAAGTGGCCCCAAATGGAATTATTTTCCCAAAAGTCAGAACTTTTAATTTGCACAGAATTTTTAAATAAGCACATTTTATACCATAAATTGAAATAATGCACAATTTATTTCTTTTTTCCACCCTGTCAACGGGAGGCAAGAGTATTCAGTGTAGACTTGTTAACATTTCATAGTAGGGTGGGCCTTGGAGAGGGGCTCTCACTCATCAGAGGCCTCTACTCACCTTCTTGCGACACTCTGTAATGACCCCACCTCTGGTTCTGAGAGGAGATTTTGGGATTTTATTGTACATAAAGATCATTGCATTATTGTACTAAAGATCGCAAAGCAAGAAGTTGTTTGTACTGCTTAGAATATTTACATATATTTAAATAAGTGAACTAAGAATGTATGTTCATCACTGTAAACCACCTAAGTAGATGAGAGAAAGGGCTAGCTTTAAATGTTCTGAATTGAAGTATAAATTGAAGACTGATATGGTGCCCAGAGGAAAATCATCTGTAATATTAAAAGAGCCATCTGTCATGATGGTGCTTAGACTACAGAGAAAACAGACAGTACGGGTTTCACAGGACAGATGACAAGCCCAGGACACGACATCTGGGACCCATCATATGAACCTCTGGCTAAACCAGCCCAACTTCATGACCATTTCAACTGAAGGCACAAAAGCTTCAAGCAAGTATTCCCCCAAAGATGGGCCAGTTCAATGGAAAATATGCACCTCGAAATTCTTCAAGAAGTGTCCTTCACGCCCACTGTGTCAATTAATTTTATAAGTCAACTTGACTGGGTTGTGGGGTACTCAGATACATGGTCAAACATTACTCTGACTGTTTCTGTGAGGATGTTGGATGAGATTAACATTTAAACTGGTAGCCTGAGTGAAGCAGATGGCCCTCCCTAATGTGGGGTGGGCCTCGCCCAATCAGATGAAGGCCTGAATACAACAAAAGGGTGACCCTCCCCCAAGGGAGAGAAAATTCCTCCTGCCTGACTGCCTTGAAATTAAGACATCTGCTTTTTCCTGCTTTCTGACTCAAACTGAAACATTGCCTCTTCCTGGGTCTCCAGCCTGCTGACCTTCAGACAAAGTACACTGTAGGCTCTCCTTGGTCTCCAGCTTCTGACTCACCCTGCAGACCCTGGGACTTGTCAGCCTCCATGATCATGTAAACCAATCCCTTAGAATACATTCTCTTTTTATGTAAATGTACACATGTACATACACACACACCCCAGCTCTTTGTTCTGTTCTCTGTTTCTACTACAAAACAACCAAGGAATGCCTTCTTCCTCTTTTCTCTCTCCCACCGTCCTCTAGGTCAAAGGAGCAGTAAGATGTGGGGGTGGGAAAAGCAACAAAGCTACTTAAAGAAGCCACAGGCTCTAGTCTTTTTTTCCCACTTTCATTTCTATCCATGTCCTACATCAGGGCAAAACAAAGAGCTCAGGAACAAAGTTGGAAAACCTTGACTAGTGGATTCAAAGTACATTGAAACTCAACACATACGCAAACATATTTCTTTAACAAGAAAGTATTCCTTACCAAAAAATAAAAATCTCTTTCTACTGAGAAATTATGTCTTATGCTATTTAAATTCATCTTAAAATAAAAATCATTCATGTTATTGAATGAAAATTTTCTTTAAAGGGACCTATAAAAGAGTTCATGCTTTAGACATACATAGTCTGAATCCTACATTCATTTCTCAGTGTAACTCTACGGTGCTCTTTGAGAAAATATTCTATGGTTATACTTCACTTTTAATTCTAAGGGCTCTCAAGGTTTCTAAGACTAAAAATTAAAGGCCAACAGCAAGATTATAATCACTTCTTAATAGTTCTCCCTCCTCACAGACAGAAATGACCTTTCTCATCAAGCACAAAATTCTAGACCTTAGAAAAAGATCAAAGCGATGAATTTCCTATTTTAAATGTCAAATTCAGAATATCTCCTACAGATTTAGCTACCCAGGAGAGAAAGAATTTAAAATACGTGAAATTCTTTCAATTGACTCCTGGATCGATCACGTGTAAAAATTATTTTTCCTTAACAACTTCAAGGGCTTAAAGTAGATTATGTCATACCCTACTCAGTAAGGAAAACTAATGAGAATCTTTTTAAAAGGCAAAGTTCCATTTTCATAGTTGTGTGGGAGGAACATGCTACACATTCTATTCAGATGGATCAGCGAAGGTGCAAAGTATGAATAAATGGCCTCTCTGTGTGAAAGGATTAAACAAATCACATGAGTTAATGAAAAGTAAAGATCTAGCAAAATTTTAAATTCCATTTGTTCAAGACCAAATTACACAGAAGTGGCTAACATCATGACATGAGGAGGTAGGCTGTCACCACAGCAAGTAGGTTGTCTTATGTACCTGGATGGTGGAATGAAGGACCACAAAGAAAGCAAAAGTTGACTTTAGATCTCCTCGGGTATACTGTGCTTAAATTAACTCAGACATCTGACATCAGCAAGTCACCTTAGGCTCAGAAAAAGTGAATCTTTATCTGCATATATGACTTCCTGTTGCAAGAATTTAAATATAAGTTCTTCTTCTCTCAGCATTATTAAAGGTTTAAATATGAGGTTGGGGGTAAAAATAATGAGCACTTTTAGTTTAATTACTAGTTTATAACAATTAGTGCTATAAAGTTTTTGCTTAATTCAATACTTTCATTTTTTAAATAACTGAACAAACCAGAGCTTTTCAAATCAAATTAGTGAGAGAAAAATAGGAAAACATTCTGGAGAAGCTCAAAATCCCTTGATCTTCCAGATAAAGGAAATCCTAATGACACGGACTGAAATTTTAAAACTGAAGTATCAGAAAAAATTCTTTAAGTGTCTAGCTTCTTGGTTTGGAACATCCACATGAAACCTGAACATCTACAACAGAAGAACACTGCAGGCCACAAGGATGTCTTTGCCACGTGTTTTTAAGGCCCTTTCTGTAGATATTACAAGAAGGGAATAACACACTGGACTTCAGAAAACTCTCTGAAACACCAGTTGATATATTTCATACTTTTTGGCCCCCTCTAATGATGCAATCTAAGTCTGTATTTTTCACAAAGGATATCAGTAACATAAACTTCAGCTTCTCTGACAAGGAATAACATTTGATGTAGAGCAGTCTTCCTGGGTGTGCTTACCGAATAGGGTTGGGAGGTGGAGGGGGAAGTGGTGGTGGAGGAGGAGGTGGTGGAGGTACTGAATTCTCAGACTGGTTCACCCGCTTCTGGAGCTCATCAACTGTTCAGAGAGCAAGCATTCAGAAAAAGAGCTGAAATAAGCAACTTAACACCTTATACACATGTAAACGAAAAAAAAACCTCTCTCAAAAATCAAGTTCTTCTATTAAGGCAAAGTTAGAAATTTCAGTACGAAGCTGCAGAACCTTTTTAACTTTTTATTATCCAGTAAGGAAGGCCTTACATAGGTTACAAGAAGATGTCACCATCTTTTTGTTGTATATATAAACAATGGAAAGAAAAAAATTTTCAAGACAATGGCTGGATGGATGGGAAGTAAGGATTGAGTAGGTGGAAGAAATATTTAACAAGAAAATATATTACTCAAAGAAACGGTTAATACTTGGCTTTTAAAGCATATAGACCAAGAATTAATTTTAAAGATGACATTCAGTAATGAATTTTAAGAGCATACTTTCCTTCTCCACTTAATTTCCTTCAAAAATTGCAAATCCTAGAGTTCTTGATTTTAAGCAGCCTCAGACAGACTCTCAAATGTCTAACTCAGAAACTTTTTGCTCATGTGAAGAGCATTCTGGAAATACAATTTAATCATTCAAGTCATTAATAAAACAAGTACTTACTAAGCGCCAACAATGTGAAAAAGCCTATGCTTGGTGCTGTTTAAGACACAGTTCATGACTTAGGGAAACTCAATTTAAATTTACATCACAGATGTGAATACCTCTCAATGGGCTCTAATGGGCTACAGGTACTGCACTCAGGAGTAGCTCTCCTTTGATGCAGCCATTCTGCTTTCCATGATCGACTGTACCCCAATGATCTGTCCATTTCTTTTTACAGTCAACACCTAAATAAGCAGTGTGGGCTATACTCTCTGACACCAAGAACACTCCAGTTATTTCATATGCATGTGTCTATTTCTCCAAAGGGAGTCTGAGATCCTCAAGGACAAAAAGCATAGTTTCTTTCCTTCTCTATTTCTTATAGCACCCTAGGGTACTAGGTACCGTTAGGTACACACACAGCAGGCAACAAATAAAACACGTTCAAAATTGAATCTCAAGTATCTCTAGTGTCTGCTCCCCTCCAATGATAATTAAAGATGGTTTTGGCTACAAACTGCCCTGATACTAAAAAGAATAGACTATTTCTTAATTTTAGGTTAATTTTTTAAAAAGAGATTGTGATTAATTTTCATTGTGGATTAGAAAGCACTGAATATTTTTTAAAGGAAAAATGCCTATTTGATTCTTCTGTACAGATTTCAAAATTCTAGTATAAAATTAACCAAAAATATCTGAAGTGAATATTGGATCTATTATAAAGGGAACAACCTGCCTCCTTAAATTACCTGCTTTCCAACGGAAACTTATTACTTATCCCTGTGTAGTAATCCAACTCATACATTCCTGTTAAGCCTTCTAGAACTAAATGAATAACTCATTTAAGTACTCCCTGGTGTTTTAGAAGTTTTTCCACTTAATATATATATTGTTGCCCATTTTATTGTTAGGTATGATACTGAAAGTATTATTTCATGTGTATAATAAGACACCAAAGTTGAAGGTAATATGTGCCTAAAAAGTTTAATTCTTTTTAAAAATGTACCTAAAAATGAATAGAATAAGTACTTAATGAACACTCATCTTTGAAGCCCTAAGAAAGGCTGAAGTTTTGGTCTTCCCATATTAATGGTATCTCTGTCTCTTAATTCTATATATGATGCTCACAAAGGCTCTGAGTCCAAAAAAGAAGTCTAAGTATTTGCAAATCATCTGATTACAGTGGCCGTTCTGCTGAACTGCAATAGTCAGAAATGAAGGAATTTAAAACAAATCTTCGTATTTTTCTATAGCATTCAGTAAATGTACTGGTCATGAGAGAGTCACATATTAATGGTAAGACATAATAGCCTACTCAGTGCTTTTACCGGAATGCTTTAAATTTCTAGCTTTCTCCTCAGAATTCTGGTATTTCGATTCCAGTTCTTTCTTATCTTCTTCTAGAAGCTCCAGTTGCTGTTTGAGGCTATGTATCTCTTTGTGGAGAGTTTCATTTTGTAGTTGCTCTTCTAATTCTTTGACCTGTAAGTTATAAACAGACTTTTACGGGGTGATACAGTTTTTCCTTTGTTAAGGAAAATAAGGGGGAAAATAAATGTTTCTCTTTTACTTTGCAAAGAGATTCCAATTCATCTCAAAAACCACACAAATTCTAGGATACAGATAATACTTAAAATCATTATGAGAAATATGATTCAATATAAATTTACTGAATACTTATGTCCCAGGTAATTTAATTTTTAAATGTGAGTCAAAAAAGTAAAATATTCATTTAATTTAAGTAAAAAATTAATTTAAAACAGGTTAATACTTTTGTACCCATTTTCAAAAGAAAAATTGGGGTATTACTAAAAAGACCCCTGGTGGGGCAATTTGGTAACAGATTTCAAAACCATTAAAAAAATAAAAAAGAAGGAAAGGCCCTTTCTGATTCAGGAACACTACTTTTAGAATTTGTTTTAAAGAAATAGTAAGACAAGTGTTCAAAAATATTCACTACAGCGTTCTTTGTAACAGGGAAAATTTGGAAATAACCTAAATGTCCACCAACATTACTGACTTAGTAAAATTATAGTGTATTCATTAAATGAAATACTGTGCAACCATTTAAAATCACGTAGCTCACTACACAATGACATGGGAAGATACATTACCAATTGAAAAAAATCAGGTTATAAAACAATATGCTTGGTGTGATTCCATTTAAACTATATTCACAGAAGTGTGCATTTATATAAAGTTTGGATATGCACCAAAACATTCTTGGGTAATCTTAATTTTCTTGGGTAATCTTAATTTTCTTCTTTAACTTCTTCTGTATTTTTAAATTTCTTTTTTATAATCATAAAACCAACACAGCTGTGTTTAAAAGATTGCTGAATCTGCAAGGGAACCTAGAGACAGATATATACTCTTAACCACATATTTGAAAGATTATCCAGAATAATTATATAGCAGAATATAACAGGTTTAGAAGAGATGATTGCTATCATTTCATTTATTATAAGTTTTACCTAATCTTCAGTACATCTCCCCCTGCCCCAACAAGGTACATTCGCAACAGTTTAGTCCCATACCTCGATACAATTCAGTAGGTTCTTGGCACCCATTATTTACTAAATGAGTTAACTACAAGTAGTAGAACTTTTCAGAACCAAAAAATTCTAGCATAAGCTAAATACACACTCTTTCATTCTCTCTTTATTTGAAAAGGTAATTCTTGCAGATGAGGACAAAACAAAAATTTCTTTCCCTCCCACCCCAATCCCCAGGCCTCTTTCCCAGGGGCAAGCACAGTTACCCCCCTAAACATCTGGACGTTCTCAACACATATGCCATCATCTTACTGAAGAAACAACCAACTCTGTAAAAACTCCAGGAACTTCCAAGGATTAAATGTCAACATTGCTGCTTAAAGAGACTTCGACAGGTGATTACAAATGGCAGCTGAACAGCCTTCCCTTCACAAGCTAGGTACACTATAAGTAGTAGAAATATTGATGTAATTTTTCTTAAGTGGTTTCTTTAATTTGAAAGGCTTTGTTATACCTCTCCGCCTCTCCCTCTCACCCACCACGATGACTATCCTTTCTGCCTAGCGCGCAGAGGTAGGCTATGTCAGCTGGAACAGCCCTACTCAAACAAATTGAAATAACCACTTAGGAAGTCTTTAAACATACACATTTCTGCAAGTTTACAAAATCAGAAATTTTCTCTAAGCAAACAATTACTACTAAAAAATGTTAGTAGTAATTGTTTGCTTAGAGACTTTTCCTCCCTCTTTGAATAAAACCTATGCCCTCCAGCAAGCTCTTTGAAACCAATACACAATACACTCTCCTAGGGTAGACAGTCTCGAAAAAACACTCTTCATAGTGTACAGGGTCTCCAAAAACAATCAACTCACAGATTCCAAATTGTATTATCCAAGCTCTTTGTGAGTTCTATCTCTTTCCCTCGCTTCTTCTGACCCTCTGGGCAGTTTAAAAATCATTATAAAATCTACAACAGTACACTATAAATTTTAGTTGGGTACTAAGTTAAGTTCATTTGGCAGTTATTTTTTCCTAAAAGGTGAAAAGACTGGAAAGACTTAGTAACTTAGGGAAATATGGAACTATGAGTACTGGACTGACTCATCTCATTGTAAATGTGTGTGTATTAAAGCTCCAGAAGAAAATCTGCTACCTTCTGTTGATGCTGAATTCTCTCTTCTTCAAGAAGCTGGATGAGTTTTGCATTATCATCTAACGCTTTCAAAAGCTGCTGGTCAGGAGCAGAGCTCTGCAGGAGAAGGTGGCTTTGTCTCTTTAGTTTGTTTTGTTCAATAAACATCTGCAAAAAATGTACATACCCATCATTCTCATACATCTCAACTAAAAAACTCAAGCAAAAGGCAAAATATGTGGAGTTTTTATTAAATAGTGAAAGGCAATTACTGAATTGTAGTGTAATGGTTTTAGAAGTAATGATTGCCATGATTTCATGTATCATTTTTACACAATCTTCAGAACCTTTACCCTTGCGCAGCACGGTACGTATGTAATAGTGTAGTCCTATCCTGCAGCTTTTAATATTTTATTATTGCTTTAAAATACATTCATACTAACAGTAGCAGCTAATATTTACCAAGGACTTATGTTATGCCAGGTACCCTACTAAATATTTTATATACATTATTTCAATCTTTACGTCAAGCCTATGAGTTAAATGCATCTGCTATGAAAAGTTAAAATGTACTAAACACTATATGACAGATATGGTGGCAGTCCCTTTACATATATTATGTCATCTGATCCTTAGGACACCACTGTCAAGTAGACACTATTGTTATCTCACTTTTACTAACAAGGTAACTGAGGCTCAGGGGCAAAACAGCTTTCCCAAAGACACATGTTAAACAGCAGAGCCAGGATTTAAGCCCAGATCTGTCTGATTTACAAGCCCAAAGCTCTTAACCACCCGGCTAATCTCCTTACCCTGCTATTTACTAGACTTAAGGTTTTGTTTTAAACCAATTAGTTTTTCCCCAGTGATGAAAGTAGTTAACAGTAGGAGGGTAAAGAGGAGAAGGGAAAAGGTATATTAATATTTACTGAGCATTTTATTATGCAATTTACATATATCATTCATTTAACCTTCACGACTTTACATGACTGAGAACATTATTTTCTATTCACCTGTTATTTCTTTTCCTTAACACCCTACACAAGACAGCCAATGGGTGATTCCAAGCATGAAACGCTTGACAGAAGTCTGAAATTAGGCCCATTTTACAGTACAGCAGCAACACCTGCAAGTGAAATTCACCTTCTTCTTCCAAATGACTCCTCATTTCGGTGTAAGAACAGGTACAGAGATAGTGTGCGTGAATGAGTGTGTGCGTGCACACAAGTGCTGGGCTGGAGGAAAGTCAGACTGGCGGCACTCACACACCAGGGAAGAGCTATCAACATGTCACCACAGCATCTTAAACTTTAGACCACTGGTTTAATTGAAATGAGTTATTTTGGGTTACTACTATTATTACAGTAATTTCTTTTTTTTAATAACTTTTTCCCTCTTAAAACCTAACTGGTTGGGGTCCCTGGCTGGTGTCTTAGAAAATATCCCAGAGAGTCCACTAAGTAACAGCTGAAGTAAGTGAGATTCTCTGGCTTCCCAGCAAGTGAGGACTTCCACCAAGAGAGCTGGGAGGCCAGAAGCAGGCAGAGAGGAAGCAGTCAGCGGGGCTGACCAAGACAGTGCAGGGAGCTCAGCAGTAAGACACTGCAGGGCACCAACGCCAAGGGTGGCTTTATTACCCTCCCGGCCCTGCTCCTCTGTGCTTTGGTTCTCTCTTGGGAAAAGGGCTAGTTCTCCTTTTCTATGTAGCCTCAGAAAAACTTGCTAAACTTTACATGATTATAAATGATCACAGCTCTGTTACTTTGGAGAGAAAAGAATAAAGACTGTGTCTTAGGGATGTGAATAACATGAATTTCTTTTGCAAACCCTTTAACAATCCCTAAATTGCAATATAAGATGAAAAGAACATACAGAAAAGAAATTTCTTTCAATAACAATGATAACTTGAAAAATATTACTCATTGAACCATCTTCTCTAGATTTTAAGATGCTAAAATAAAAGACTGTATAATGCCTTTTCTAAAGATGTATTTAAAGAAAATTCAGTTACCAACTAATGAATTTGGTTTTTAGCTATGGTAAGAATTTGTTGATTAGAGTTATTAAGTTGGACCCTTAACAGACAAAGAACACCACTGGTATCAGAATTTCAGAGAAATTGTCTGTATCTTTTCAAAGAACAAGAAGAAAATGTTGTATCATTAATAAATATTTCATTCTTTCCAAATTAACCTTAAAATACCATCATCTGAGTTGTCTGAAAAAATAAACTGATTACATAATAGTTTCACAGTATACTGGTAATATGTGTTGAAAAAGGTATACACACCTTTAAAAATTTTTTTAAAAATACACTAAATAGCAAAAAATACATTCAAAAATTACAAGAAAGTCATTAAAAACTAAAAGTATGCTGAAGAAATACAAAACTTATAGTCATGAAGACAATTGGCTGCTTCTTCCTTGTAGGGGATCATGGTTTTGGTTTTTAAATGGACAAGTGGGAGTAGAAATAAGGAAGAAACATTCAATTTTTAATTTACACATTTGAGAACTGTTTGTATTTTTACAGGAGAGTTTATATATATATATATTCCTTTTGCAATTAAAAATGTAACCTCAATTAACCTTAAAAATTGATTTCCAGAGCTCTACACTGTACGTTCCAACAGGGCAGGGATCATACTTGCTTTCCTCACTGTTACATTCCCAGTGTCTGGCTTAACAGATGTTTGCTGAATGCACTAGGGAACAAAACGCAAGCGTGGCACTTCCCTGGTTAAACCAAGTCATGCTCCTTTTAGCAGCAGTTATCTGTTGAAAACTTGGGAATTTGTAAACCATGCAAAAGGAAAGATAGGCTTGTTCTAACCTAGCTTTGTTTTTAAAAATAGTTTTCTTCTCACTATTGTGTAGCTCAAACCTAGACACTGTAAAATTACTGAGCACTGCTGCAAATATTAGGCTACAGAAACCTAAAGTGCCACCGCTCTTGCTTTCCCTCCTCGTTCTGGGTTAACACGTCAGCATCGCTGTTTCCACCGATCACTACCAGGTGCATGGCAGAGAGAATCCTTCATTTTCATATTCTTAGTGGATTCTTACTTCTCCCACCTATCTTCTCTGCTACTGCATGGCCTTCAAGTTTTTCTTTGAGCTGCTTTGTATTCTTAACATCATTCTATAAAAAACAGATGGAAAACTGAAAATGTCTCTCAAAATAAGACCCTGGCAGTCAGGTCAAAACAAGACAACCTTTTCAGTTTTGCAGTGGAGCCATCTTCACATTATCTCTGCTCTCCCTCCCCTTAAACCGTTTATTTAGTTCCATTATTTATATGCTGCAGCTTTTCCCAAAGGGCTCTAACATACTTCAATTCTTTTTCCTTCCTTCCAGGAAGGAAGAGAACAATATTTACTCACCTTTCATTAAACTCTCTGAATAAAATGAATCATAATATTTCAAATGAGATCTTCTTAGACTAAAACTTTTATAGAGTTCATTGCTACCACGGCTACATTCAAGCACAGAAGAACTCCTGCACAAAACCATAATCTGATTTTCAAATGTCATTCCCGTAACCCTATGCTTTGTCTTCCTGCTACACCTTGGAGACAGCCATCTAAGAATGTTTTACATTTCCTTAGCTACTTTCCTTGAACCTACAATATACACACAGATTCAGGATATTTACACATGATGGAAATCTCATGCAGATCAGCTCCACATCATGAGCTGTTACAGTTCAGCCAACTGGTGCCTCATCATTTCCCTGAAAACCAGTCCCAGAGCCATGGAATACCCAACAACTACATGCCAACAAAGTTAAGCCAGAACGTGAGATGCTCAAAGCTTATCTCTAACATGAGAGGAAAATCATTACTTTGGTGAAAGGCTCAGACAGTAAGTGGAAAAATCAACTCACACAACGAGAACATTGTACAGCAGCTGAAGAGAAATACCAAGACCATGATACTGTTATTTCAGATGGTATACCGAGATTTAACCTGGATTCTTAAGGCTATCTGAAACACAAAAATCCTGTACCCAAGCTGGACTTTCCATCACAAGTTATGCAATGGGTATCCCTAAATATAATTTCTTTCCCCTATACAGCATTTTATAGTTTACAGAGTTATTTTGAAAAATATTGCCACTTGATTTTAAAATTCACTTGGTTAGGTTGGTATCATCATCCATTTTGCCAGTGATGAAAGTGAAGCCCAAAGAGGCCAAGGGATGCTAGTAACATACAACTAGTAATTGACTGACATGGCCAAAATTTGAACCCAGGTCTTCTGACACCAAATTCAATGACCTTGATACTATGCCGTAGTTACCTCCCTAAATCAGCTGATCCTTAGTTCAAAGTGATAAGTGCTTGTTCAACCTCAAAAAATATTTTGATATGTTATCTGCAAAAAAACAAGGTCTCTGCAAGATAATTACCTCTTGTGCAAACGACTCTGCTTTCTTTCGAAGGTCCTTCTCCAGTTCCAAGTTTACCTGCATTTCCTCATACTCTTCTACTGCTAGCATGGACACTTAAGAAGATAAGGAAAAGAAAATGGACAATATGCCACACAGATTAGCAGGAAGATGGATGAAAAAGAGTACTGAAAATATTCCTTATTCAGGGATATAAGAACCTTCATCCATTGCTGGTTGGAATATAAACTGGTAAGACCTTTTCAGAGGGCAACTTGGCAATGCAAATTAAAAATCTAAAACTATCCACACTTTTGGTTCAATGATTCCACTTTTAGGAATGTATGTATTCTCATCAGAGAATAAATCATGAACATTTGCAGAGATTTAGTTGGAGGGATGCTCTCTGCATCATTGCTGAAAATAGTGAAATAATCTAGATAATCTAACATTGAAGAATCAGTAAGTAAAGTTTGGTATGTATAAGAAATATTTTTCTGCCATCAAAATTATATTTTAGAGACATTTATTGAATGGAAAGATATTCACAATATATTCTTTAAATGAGTTCTTTTTTTGCTTTTTTTTTTCATTTTTGCTTTTAAAAAGCCACATATAAAACACATCGATAAGGATTCCACAGAAGAGGAAGCACGTGAAAGGCCAATAAACATCTTCGGTAGAAACCAAGGAAATGGAGAGTAAAACCACAGATACCTTTTTATACTCCCCAAAGAGGCAACTGGCAAAAATTTAAAAGTATAGCTATACCAGGTTTGGAGGGGGAAAAGAACAATGGAAACAAATACACTACTAACAGGAGTGAAAACTTACAGATCTACTTAAAAAGTAACTTGGCATTATGCAGTGAAATTGAAGATAAAAATTTACATTTGGCAGATACCTTAGTGAAATTCTTGGATATGTGCATCAGAAGACATGTATAAGAATTTTCGTAACAGCGTGACTTGGAAAAGCAAAAAAACTGGAAAAAATTCAAACATCCACTAATAGGATGCTGGGTAAATGAATTCTGGTATAGACAACAAATGAAATAATATACAGCAGTGAAAATAAATATACCACAGCAATCCCCCTTAATATGGATGAACCTCACAAACACAAAAAGTTGCCATATGCCAAATGATACCATTTATATAAGGTTCAAAAACATGCAAAATCAAACAATATACTGTTTGGGGATACATACATACTTGGCAAAACTATAAATAAGAGCAATGATAAAAATCCATGGGAGGGGTACAAGTAGAGACTGATGTTCAAGGGCTTATAAAGTACCAATGAGTAAAAGAGACATTTCTTTTGCTAGTATTTTCTTAGTCTTCCATATATGTTATAAACATATTTAATAAACAATTTAATGTGTATAAATAGGCTTTTTAAATCAAAGTATAGCTGATGCACAATATAAATTATAAGCATACAATATAGTGAGTGATTCAGAATTTTTTAAGTTTATGCTCCATTTACAGTTATTATAAAATATTGGCTATATTCCCTGTATTGTACAATATATCCTTGTAGCTTATTTTATACATAATAGTTTGTACCTCTTAATTCCCTAGTCCTATATTGTCCCTCCCCACTTCCCTCTCCTGGAAGAACATATACTGAAATGTTAATAATGCTTATCTTTGGAATGTCAGTGTTGAGGTTTTTTTTTTTTCTTTTCCAATATGAATCTATACTTTCCACCAAAAAAAGTATGTTACCTGAATAAAAAGAAAATACATACATATAAAAGTTATTTTAAAGTATTCTCCAGGTTTAAAAAGAAGAGAAAGAGCCTTAGATCCATGCAGGCCCAGAGTCAGAGATTTAAATTAAAGAATCACTGTGGACAGAAGTCTTCAAAGGGAAGATCTTGTCAGAGAAGAGCAACATGAAGTCTTTCCTACTTGCTGGCGTTCTGTGGCCTACTTTGTTAAATAATGATACAGGTGGGCAGAGGGAGTGATGGTGCCATCACAACATAGGACAGCACACTAGTCTCTCCATCTGGTTCTGGTGAGGCACCTTTAATCCTGAGCTGAGTCATATCAATAAATCTTTAAAAAGGCTCTCTTAATGGCTACTTTCAGAAAATGTTCCTCCAGGGCACTTCAGTCCTAACTGACTAAGGACTGGTCTGCAGTGTAATAACATAGAATTTCAAACTCTATACTCAGTAAATCTACTGCCTCCTCAGAGCACGACTAAGTCTTACTCAAGTAAAGCAACTGTAAGTGGTGGTTTGTCATGTGAATTATAGGTCCCTGAGAGTCGAATGATTTTCAAACCTATTGGAAAAGAAATTTCACAAAGAAAACAAAGATTATGACTATCTAAAGCCCTGGGCAAGATAATTGACTTTCTTTTCTGTGTCCAGAACACTGTAATGAAGAGTGAATTTTCACATGTCCTGGCCCCCTTGGATTCTGAAAGAAACTGGGTTGATCCTAGACATGGATTTATTTATATAAGCTCTCTCTCTTCCTGGATAGGGGGCTCCCTGAAGGCAAGATCTATGACATCAACCTTTGTAGAACCCTCTGTTTCTAGCACAGTGCATGGAAACTGAAAATTCTTTGACATCATTTCAACTTTAATGCCCAAAAGGTAGTGGAAATGCTACAATCTAGTGTCTCCCACACTTAACTACAAGGTCCTTTATTTATTCAAAAATCTCAATTCATGAATGATGGAGAACTATCACTGGTAACAACAGGGTCTGAAAGATTTCCTTTTAGTGTTGTAGCTTCTGAACTAGGGAAGAGAGTGGCTGAAGGTAAAAAGGAAAACAAAAAGCACAGTAAGTCGCCTCCCTTAGAGTTATGTCTGCAGACTGCACTTTGGCATCACTCCTCTGCCCTGAACTAGGGGACATAAGAAACAGCCCCATGAGACTTGATGCTGTTTTATGACAAGGATGATAAAATCAAATTATAAAGAATTTTCTCCAGAAGTAGCCTTTGGAGAAACTTCCTTCTCACCATGAGACCAGGTCTGCTTCTTGTGATCAACAGGTTAATTTTTATGTGATTCATATAAATGATCATGAATCCCTCATGGCTCTAGCCCCCAGATAGCTCAGAGCCAGATTTCAGGCACAGAGGCAGGAAATGCGTAAGAACTCAGAGCAAGTATGCAATCTATATATTAACATATACTCTCACCTTCCCCCGTCTCATTTTCCATATCCCCCTAATTTAAAATCTTATCATATAATGTTGCATATATTTATGTAGATATCTTAATCTCTTCCGGATTGAGAAGAGGTTTACTGAATAACCTACCAAATATATAAATACTGAGGGGATGACCATGGTCCCAGGATTAGGACATAAGAGCATTTAGATCTGAAGTTTCAAAATGAGTAGATCATGAATTCCTCAAGTAAAAGTGCTTTTAAATCTCCCCAGACTCCTAAGGTAGGTGATAAAAGAACAGGATGAGAGAGACTCATTGCCATAAGTTAGGAAAACACAATATAAAAGATTTTTGCTACAAGAATCTTTAGACACAAGTATAAAACAACACACAATACATATAAACAAAATAAAGTATGTGCATATATATATAGTTGAGGAAAATGACAAAACATACCTCTATTGCATTTTTCTAAGACTTTTCTCTGTTCAAGAACTTCTGAATTTAAAACATCTTTTTCTTGCTTAACTTTATTTACCTAAAAATGTGAGATTTTAAGGGGAGAAAATATCCAAAATTGTAAAACATGATATATGGTGACACGTTCAAATTGCTGTTCAATTTTCAACATGTTACAATTAAAGCAGTAATTGGCTTCACTGTGTTACCCTCATATTAAAGCTTTTTAAAGCCTCAAAGTAACTATTTAAGTTAGGATGTACAGCTGGTAGAGAACTTCTTTACAAATTCCAAATTGCACTGGCATTGTCCCTAAATATGGCAGTGAAATAACTGACATTTTAAATGCAAAAATCCAACTAGATTGCACCCCAAAAATACTTGAATCATTTAGTCAGAGATCCAACATTCAATCTGAATATTCACTTTAAACTCTGATGACATTTGGCTTAAGTAAAACATACATAAATTTTTTAAATTAAAAAATACTTTGAACTTTGACTTTTGGCTTAAATAAAATATGTATGAAAATCTTCCCTCCAAAAACGTAAAATTCTGAAATGATTTTTGGCATCTATCAACAGGAAAAGAGAGTATCATAGGACAATTTAAAAACAAGAGCATGTAAAGTTACATGTATCAAGTGGATAAATCTCAAATGCATTATGCTGAATAAAAAAAAGCAGGTACATTTATATAGTTAAGAACACTCAAAATACTATGTATTGTAGCAAAAATGTAAATACATGCATTGAAATGATAAGAGCCAAGTTCAGAATAATGGTTGTTTAGGGAAACAGGGCAAGGAGTGAGGAGAATATACTTAGGGAGAAATACACTGGGGGTTTCAACACTACATTAATGTTTTATGTATTAAACTAGGTAGCAGGCATACAGACGTTCATTATTTTGTTTTTTTATACTTTTCAGATGTCGGAAACAGTCATAATAAAAATAACTTCTGAAATGGCTTCCGACAACACCTCTAAGTGGGAGGGGGGAGAACCATCAATAAATAATTACTGAGGAACAGAATGCATCAAAATGTATTTCTCTCTCTCCTATGTTTATACACAAGAGACAAACTAAGATAATGGTCTTGAAGGGGACTCTGAATCCATCAGCACTTTCAGATATCTATGAACTGGTTTCTTTTAGTATAAGCTATATTTTTGTTTTTCGTTTAAATTAGTACCTGGTATATACACTGTCCAGCAGGAGCACCACTTTCAAAATGTCATTGTCTTTCTTCTCATTCACAATTTTTGCCTCAATAAGTAAAAGCAACTGGGGCTGGGAGGCTGGTGGGCACTGCTTCCCAACCTTTGTCACATTAAGGCCCTTAAGAATATGTGTAATTGGATGGGGCTGCTCACTGAAGGGATCAATGCCTTGGTGAGCCTGTAAACCACTGGAGGGATATCAAGGTGCTGTAACACATCAGTTGGGAAGCCCTGGGCTACAGAATCTGAGAACCAATGATGCAATTTTAAGAGATAGCTAAGGCAGATCCCTGAAGCCGTGCAAAGAAGGCCAATTATGTGCTCCTGCTCTTAAAGACTTTTAAGGGAAAAATAAAGATTCTCCAAATACCCACTTGGACCCATTCTACCATCTATCATATATGCCCGTGTTGGAGGTACATAGCAGATAGCCTTTCCCAACTGAGCCAGCCCTCCCCTGGAGAAGAAATAATTCTTCACCAGCAGCAGCAAAGTGTACAACTTAAATGGCAGATATCATTGTCACAAATCTGCCTCATGGTGAAATATGAGGGACAATAAGAAACACTTCAATGCTATTTTAGTATTTTATTTCTTGAGCTAGGCAGTGGGTATATGAATGTTCACCATCTTATTTTCTACACTTTTCAGTATGTCTGAAATAGTGGGGACAAGAGAAGATTAAAGCTGGTACATGGTTCTCATGTCAGAAATTAGCTTCCAACAGCAAGTTTTTGACTTAGCCTGTCCCCAGACATCTTAAAACACTAAAGGTCTTGCCTTTGGGCCTAAGATACGTACTTCTTCAATTACTTCTACAAGTTTGCTCTTGAGATTTTCCAGTTCAATGGCTAATATCTTCTTTTCCTCCTGAACAGATATAATTTGATCTTGAAGTTCTGCATTTTTAAAGAAAAAAATAGGAAAAAAACCCCAACAAATTTATTTGTAAAAGAAGAAATCAATCTTGTCAAAAGAATTGAAAATGCCAGTCTATGTGCAGCTTACGGTCAAGGTTATTTAACAATTAAGAGGAAAATGAAGAAACAAAGAGAATGGAAATTCTGCTTCTGTGCCCTCCCCCGCCAATAGAACTGTATTTCTAAGATTTTTTATCAGGCGATCTCACTATATTAAATGTACCAGATTATGTTTTCTTTACATTCTATCAAACCTGTATTCTAGAAAACTGTCTGGCATTTTAGAAGTAAAACTTTTTAAGCTTTCAGCAGAAGAAATTTAGGCACTGCACTAATGTCTTTTTTATTTTATAATGGCCATGGGCTCTTGTCACAATACAATACAAACAAACAACTGGGCAGCTAATAATTTAGAGATTTTGATTTAAAGGAAAAAAATCCTGACTTGCTGCCAATTTATAGCCCTGAAAACATTATTTGAACTGACTCAAAATATAACCTATTTGAAAAAGGGTTAATTCTAATAATTTTCTCTCCAGAGTTGTAGGTGTTTGGTTTCTTAATTTATTTCATATTTCTTATTATTGAAATTTAATAAAAACTGTGTTACTAGAGTGAAAATATTAGCAACTGTAAGTGCAAAAGCTTCTGGTGTTAGAGTTACTTTTACTACTCAAATGTCAAAAAAAAAATACATGGATTAGCATAGAGTACTAAATTTATACCCAGGCTGACATGGTTTCGCCACTTAGCCTTTAAGTGCTTTTAATTTCTTATCCTTCTCCAAGAACAATAAGAAACTTGCTATGTGGTTATTGATTTACAAATTAAATCAAACTTTTTACATGAATCCAGATTAACTGAAGGAGTTCTCAGAGATTTATTTCAAAACCACTTTTTCCAATGGCTGGCTAATCTTGAAGGAAGAACAAGAGACCAGACCATTCGAGACCTAACAGAAAAGAGAATTACGCACAAAAGGAAGCCCTTTAAACTTCCTCTCCCTTCCCACCACATAAATATGATTTTTGTCTTAGGGTAGACAGTGGAGAGACAGGTTATGATGACTTTCTTTTTACTTTCTTCTTAATACTTCAAACTGAAGTTTTTTCTACCCAACAAACTAACAAGTATTGCTCTCGACAGGTACAGTAAGTCAAAATGCCCCAACAGTTACTGAGCCCAAAACTGCTTTGCTACATCCTTAACATAAGCAATATACATATATATTTATGAATAAAGTTAATGTGTATTTAATAGATGTATCACATGATCTTGCCTTCTAGCACCACCTGGGGACCAACACAGTCGCTTAATACTACGTATTGCTTTTGGCTCATTGCCTGAATCAGATGGAAAGTTCTTGGAGGGCAGAGACTAAGCAATTTGGGGAGGTATCTTCCCCAAAAATTCCAACAGAGAACCACACTAACAGGAGGTGGAGGCTAAAGATACTTTTATTCATTCTTTCTTTCACTTAATACAGGTATCTTAACACATTTCATAACACACATTCTTAAAGAAGTTTATAGGCTAACTGGCTGTTTCTGTCAAGACAATGCTTTCAAAAGTGCCTAATCCCACAAGAAAGTAACTCATAAAGCTCACAAATGCTACACCTTATCATGATTCTCAACCAGGCTACTCCCTAGGACAAATAATCAGAATTGTTTGAGGCATTAATATTTTTTAAAATTCTCATGCGATTCTAATGTGCAACCAGGGTTGGGAAGCATTATCCCACTAGGGATCACAAATATGCTCAACAATTGAGCCAGGAGTCCTACCTTTGATTTGCTTCTGACACTGTACTGAGACGCAAGTCTCGGCAGCACCCTCTGGGTCTATGGTTGGATCTTCCTCGTCAATGTTTATCTCTTCAGTGATTACATCTGGACCCAGCTTGGCCATGTATAACATGCTGATTCTTTTCAATGCTTTATTTTCTTTATTTAGCTAAGGCAAATATAAAAACAGTTATTTTAACAGCAGTCAAATGAGTGTCTTAGATTTTTAAACAACAGACAAATTAAGTGAATTTTTGTCTTACACACTCATCAATATTCACAGCATGAAGTATCAGCTAGAATAGTCATTAATAAGGTTTTATTTAGTATTAAACTTATTACTTGAAGTAAGGCCTATGCCTTATAGCCAGCAGCATGTGAAAATGCTCATTATAACTGATATGAAATACAAGAAGAAATAAGACAAAGCATCAATAGAGATTAAATCAAATTTCAATTTGTTCACAGTCATTAACAGTCTTAATTAAGACACTTTACTTCAAACAAATATTTAGTTTGATGCTGTGCTGTGAACATGTTTGCCCATCCCTCCTCCTCTTCTGGACTCTGCCACTCTTCTTCACTGTTCTACATGATTTCTATGGGAACAGCCCAAGTCCCCCCAGAGCATACCCCATCTCTTTGGCCATAGCTAATTAGCCCAGGAATTAGGCACATAATCCAAGCTCGGGCAATTAGATCCCTTCTCTAGAAATTTGGAGGCTGTAACAGAGAGATGGGTTCCTTTCCATGTGTCTGGATGGACAGAAGCTCACTGGCAACCACATTACACTACTGAATTGATGGATACAGAAAGGCAGTCTGTAACAAAGCCAAAATGGAACCAACGTGTAGAGAGAGAAAAGCAACAGAGATAGGGAATCCCACAGGACTCCAGTCCATTCCTGAAATGCTCCTAGCTCATGGATTCTATAAGATTCTCCAATATCCCTCTGAACAAACACCTATTGTTTTTTCCCTTTTCTTCCTTAAGCTAGTTCAAGATATGTTTCACTCTGTACAAAGATTTCTAATAATACCCAATAAAAGAAAGTTCAAGATATGTCTCTCTTATCTCTATAATTCAGGTAAAGGAATCCTAATTCATTAATGTATTTGTTATTCCCTGGCATAAAAATGAGGTTTTTTTAAAACTTTTACTATTACACTTCATTTTTTGGAAATTTCTGAACATTTATAAAACTAGAGGGAACAGTATAGTGATTCTAGCTTCAATAAATATCAACTGTGCCCAATCTTATTTCAGCTATAACCCCTCCCATTCCTCATCACCACCATTATTTCAAAGGAAATCCTGGAAACTGTCATGTGACTTCTACTTTTTTCAGCATGTATGACTAATTGTTTCTTTAAAATATCCTTTTCAAAAAACATAGTCCTAATACAATTATCCCACTGAAGATATTGACAATAAGTCTTGAATATGAACAAATGTTGAATAAATGTTCAAATTTCTCAATTCATTTTGTTTCATTTTAACCAGGATCCATACATGATCTACACAAAGCTTCTAGCTGATATGTACCCTAAAAAAGTTGACTTTTAATTTTAGTTATCAATTATCATTACCTTTTTAGCTCATGTGTTTATGTGCACATAAATGTTAGTACAAAGCACACACGGAGACTAAATTTGATGCAAAGTCCACAGAAGGCAAATACAGTTTTGCTCGTGTTTTCTCTTCCCAAGATTAAAATATAAAAGGTTTTCTCTTATTTGAATATATGAAAATGTTTAGTACATTGATTTCTTTACTATAAAATGTAAGAAATAGAAACACGTTTGCATTTACTCTTCCGTGGATTCTTCCTGAGAAGCCTCGCGAGATTCATTCAGGGAATCAGACACAGACCTTTATTCCCAATTCCCAGACCATAACTCCAGCTTCTAGCTCTCCATATTACATTAGAGGATCAGGGATAAGATAAGAAACCCATGATTTCCCAATCCATCTTCTTTCAGATGGAAAATTCAAGTAAACACTGTTGTGGGTTCTCTGAACCATGAACACACAGCAGTAGAGGCTAAGGATCATCATCAGTTCTCAAATGATGCCATCTTTTCTGAATGCAAGGAGAAAATAACAACATAAGAAAAAAAGTGAAAAAGACCTCATGTCTTAATTTGTAAATTCTGCCTCCTAATGTTTAAATTAATGGTTTCCAACCTTGCACATTACAGTCTCTAGAGTTTTTTTAAAACCCCCAATGTGCAGGCCTGTACCAGACCAAAATCTCTGGCAGTGGAGCCCAGCACAGGACTTTGTCAGGGCTTCCCACGTGATCCTACTGTACATCAATACAAAGAATAATCGACAGAGTAATGCAGTACTTTAGAATACCTTTCTATAAAATCAGTATAGCAGAGTTAAGAACCCAGCTCTGTGATCAAATTCTGTCTGCCTCAGGAATAAGCTAATCTTTCAGAGCCACAGCTTTCTAAATCAGCAAACTAAGGATAAAAATAGTCAGCATTCCATAATATGATGATAAAATGAGACAATATATATAAAGTATTTAATATAATGATTGATATATAGTAAAACTTCAGCAAGTATTAGCTAAGTAACAGAAGAGGTTTAGTTTGTAAGTCTAATTTTTCTTTGAAAATCGTTTATCAGCTAGTTTTCTTCAGCCAGGATGTTCATCTATGCATTGTTTCTTCCTCCAGGATACTCATGAAAAAGTGAACATACTAATTTTTGCCATCTGGCGCTTAATGTATTACTTCCAAAGCCACCATTAAAGTAATAGCTCATAACCTAATGGTTAACAGTTCTGCCCTCAAAAGAGTGTAATGCCTCCACCAAACCACCAGCCACTGCCATTTTGGAAATATGTGACTTTGAGCACGTTAATTCTGTTCCCTGGACCACCACTGCCTCATCTTAAATGATAGGATGAACTAGAGTTAGGACAAGGGTAAGAGTCAGACAGACTTTTTTTTTTCATGACGCACTTTAATCACTGGTCCATATATGGTCCCCTTTAAAAAATTATTTTATTCCCCCTCCCTTTTTTATTTAGTAGGTGCTTTTGAGCAAGAGAATTCACCTCTCTAACCTGCAATTACCTTGTCATAATAGTCAGGGTAGACCAGGGTTGATTTTTTTAAGAAGACCCCAGACCCACTGACTCTGAGTACGACCCAGGCACGTGAATGTTGAAAAAGCTACCAGGTGACTGTTACAGTCATTCCTGGTTATGACCCACTGTGTAACAAATCTCTAGGGTCATTTTTACCATTTACTATTGACAACAGGACCCTTAACTTACAGTTTGTCATCTGAAAATGGACATATGGTTTATTCTGAGGATGCAATACGAACTTATGGAGCTTAGAATTAAAAACAAACTCAAAAAACCTACTCAATTAAACACTATAGATGTGCTCAGTCAACGTGGAAGAAAAGATACTACAGCTTCGAAAGTCACATATTTCCAAAATGACGTTAACTAGGAAAAAAACCTGTAATATACTGTCTCTCAAACCACTGCTTTTCATATGCTGCCAGTCCTGAGAGGTAATCAGTGTTCTCACTTTGGATGTATTATTGCAACCAGAATACTTGCTAATAACAAGAGAAAATACAGAATCTATCCTTAGCCACTATAAGATTCAGAACAGCCAGTTTACTCCAAATACATCTTTTTCCACTTGCTCCAAAAGACATAAAGGAAAAAAGAATTAAAACAGTTGATGTGCAGCAGAACAGAAACGATGTGAGAGCACCCACGTGATCATTGCTTTTAAAGCACTGACCTGTACTACCTCATATTCTTTGGACAAATAACAGAAAAGACGTTATGTACACATACTTATATTCTTAGTTAGGTTCTGCCTGAATATACTATGAATCACAATGTAGTGTCACTTACAAACAATTAAGCAAATACCTCTAGCAAGCACACTGCTAACACACTGACTGATTGACTGATTGACTGAACTGGAGAATTTCAGGTGCATCCAAAGAAATACTTTGGAAGTAGGTGATGGGGGAGAGGAGAAAGAAACAAAACCAGCATCACTAATGAATTTTGGCTGAAAATTGCAGTAATCCATTTTCTGATGAAGTGGTTCAGATGCATTTTACCTAACCCAAAATACACAGGACAGAGATAAAAACATTCTTTAATAATAATGTATTTCTGATGAGACAGAATATAGAAAATTACACACTTGGTAAATTCATCAGCTAGAAGCAATCAGTACAGCAGCAGAGGTCACCTTTAGCATGCCCCCACTTTGCTTTCACAAATAATCACCTGAAGTGTTGGCTTGAGGCTGACTTTTTCATCTGATTCAAACAGAAAACACTCAATGCTCTTTTATGTCACTCCAGGTCAGTTTTAAACTTGGTTAGCATTTTAACCAAATGCACAGACATTTAGAAAGTCCAGTTCAACAGATTACTCTGGGACCATTTTCACAGGCAAAAAGAACAAATGCTGAAATACACATAAATACTTTGTTTTTAACAATCAAATACTGTCTGCATTAACACACATATTTACATAATCATATTTCAGGATCATCAGAGTAGACAACTGATTAGAGAACGAAAAAAACAGAAAAGGACAGAAGCTACTGTTTAGAAAAGCAAGTTGAAATTTAAAAGCTCAGGTAGAATTCCTTTATTTAAAATGTCTCACCTTTGTTGCCAGAGCTTCAGCACTTTCTCGACAAGTCTTCTCTATTTCAAGATGGTTCTGCATAACATTAACTTCCTCTATAACCATGTGAGAAACTACGAATGAAGGGAAAAAATGTCTCAGCATTCAGAGATTAGTCAGCTATTCCAGAAGCCCACACATCTTGTCCCATGATTAAGAATAAATACTTCAATTCTTCAGCGAGCCAGACGTTTAGCTATCATGGAGAAACAGTGTTTAAGATGTTACCCTGATTAAATCTTAGTTAATATTTGAATGTAGGGGGGAAAAAACTCCACAATGAAAAACCGTTAATGCTGTTACACACATTTTAAAAAAGCTATTTAGGATGTTTTTTAAGTCTCTGTTTTCTATGTAGATGTATACATAACCACAGACATGTCTGCTAATTTAAACAAAAGAACCTCTAATAAAATTAAAAGTGGCAAACCATGATTTCTGTTTTTTTTTAATAGGATATAATCCATGCATCTACTAAGGAAAATTAGCTAGAGAAATTTTAAAAAGTAAATCTTACACTGATCTCATAACTGGAATGACAACATGGCAGTTTATAAGCACTGCAATAGTAGTCTTTAGTGGTGACAAAGTATTTAATAAATTCCAGGGCAAAAAAGTATAGCAACAAGATTTATGTACTATGTGATGATGAAAGTAGACACTAATAATTGCTTCTGACATCACAGATTGTCAGGAAGATTAAAAGAAGAAATAAAATTTTACTTGACATTTAACCAATGCTTCAAAAATAGTAATTTCCAGATTTTTTGTAGCTGATTTATATAAATTGAGACTCAAAGGGACAAAGTAATTTAGAACTTGAGTTCTACTTTGAAGATCAAGTAAGAAAAATGCCAATTCCTTTCACCCATATTTCTAGTTAAAAGAAAATGCTCAGAATCTCAAACTTAACTGTAGACATATATACTTATTGAAATCTGTTTGGCTTAAAAAAGAAAAATTAAGGACACCCAAACGTGAAACCCAACAAAGTTAGGGAAAAAGCACTGGGCTCACATAATACAAAGAGAGATTACTTTTGCTTCATTTAAGCTTAATTAACCTGCAATTATGATTAAACTCAGGGGAAAAAATTTCTCTCCAAATTAAATACAAAAATGTATTACTTCCTAAGTCTGTCCAAAGTTCTTATTATGTTAATATTCAAATTCATAAAGCAGCACTAAATGGCCAGAAACATCTCTAACCTTGACATTTTTTCAGGGGTAATAATAATCTGCAGCAAATGCAGGCCAACCAAAAACCACTTAACTAATTAGTAGTTGCAGTCACCGAGAAAAACATGAATCAACACTGTTATTACAAGTGGCACATTTGAGTGGCATCTAATTATGACTTGATGAGCACGATACTTGCATTATCAACATTACTACTGCATCCCATCAGGGCCTAAAAGCTGCTGATGGCATTGACTTCGAGAAACTCCCACTCAATGGTACAGCAGCACCCAACAATCGGCTTGGCAGGGGCCCCCCTCACTAAATGACACGTTAAGCGTAATTACTGGTAGACATTGTAAATAAACAGGATTGGAAGTGAAAATTGTACCAAGTGCATAAGACACAATCTGACACATTGGAAGTGGCAGCCTTAATTGAGAGTTTCTTTGACTGCTCAAGATCATTTCAACTGCATTTCTCAGAGGACAGTGATTATAACTGTGGAGACAGACGGCATAATGGTATCAGCATTGCTGACAGAGCAGTGAATTAAATTGTATCTGCTGTTGTGTGAAAGCCTTGATGAGAGGTACAGATGCCTTAGTGGTCTTATCATTATAACACAATGGTCATGTTGTCATCAACCTTTCTGGCTCCAATTGAAAAGAAATGATTGTGTGTTGAAGCTCTCCCCCCACCTCCACACCACCCCTCCTCTCCTCTTCTATCTCTTGTTCTGAATAGAACCAATTTTCAGAGAGCTATGAAATCACGCAATAGGTCCTAAAATGCAGCTGCTTGGCATACAAACGGGTCCCCATTAAACTGGAATCACACACAATATGTGTTTATGCCAGAAGAACAAATAGAAGCTGAACACAGGCCAAGTTTATTCACACACACAAAGCCCATGTAGCTCTTCATCAATATAATTGCCTTTTATATTGTAGTTTAAATAATAGGCTCTATTATTTCCTTAAAATCCTAATATTCCTGGCATTTTATCACTATGTTTACAAGGTAGGTTCTTCAAAAATGTGAAGGAAAGAGAAAAGAAACCTATACAATTTTTACAACATCAAATATTACTTCGAATTTTTAGCCTTAACTACTTGACATCTTCTACCACAATCTGGTATTTCCACTATCATAACAAAAACATAAACACTCTGCATTTTTCACAGGAATTTGACTTTTTATTCAATAATATTCTTGCTCATGGAAGAGCAAGAAAAATCATTCCGCACTAGTTAAGGTTTAGGCCTAGCAAAAAGAGAAAAAATAAACACTTATTTTCAAAACATTTTGTAAAAAGTTCTCCTGTAATTTAACTTGATAAACTCAGGTAGGTAGCACTAGCCCACATTTTCTCCAGTTTTGATACAGTAAACCCCATCAGATAGGGTTTTTATTTCTTCCTATAAGAGGGAAGAGTGGAAATTAAAAATTGTGCTTTAATTTTTAGTTTAAAAAAGTATCCCAATGCTAAATTGGTTGCATAGAAACCTACTTATCAACTTTCCAGACTCAAAAGGAAGAAACATATTTCAAAGGGCATTCATATCTTTAGAAAGCTTGACCCAATTTCCGAAACCAAAAGTCAGGTCACCTGACACAAAAACAGAAATTTTCTAAATATGTAAGTTTATTTACAACTTTCCAAGGATAAATGTTTTAAAAACTTTTAATTGTTCATTTAATGATTTGCCTTATGGCCCTGAATTCGGGCTTATCTCATTAACATCCACAATCCATAACCACTGTACCTCAGACGCCTATAATCTGGATGACATGAAGGTTTAAACAAGAAAAAAGGTGAACTTTAAATAAAGTGACCTTATTACTGCAGTTATGTTTAAACAAATCCTAATATTTTAGAAATACATACGTTAGTATTTATAGATAGAATAACACGATGACTGGAGTTAGTTTCAAAATAATCTGAGGTCAGTGAGAGTAGGCGTATGGCCATGACATGACAACTTTTCAAGTTACGTGATGGGTACAACATGGGGGTTCATTATACTTTTTCTCACTTTTGTATAAGCTTGACACTTTCCATAATAAAAGTTTCTTTTAATGACTCTGAGAACTCAGAAGTGTAACCTAAAGGAATATCAATTATTGCTTCTATCAGTATAGTTGGATTAGCAAAGTTTGTCTCTCCTGTTCTACGACCTCAAAACAGTCTTACATACTTGCCATCATAGAATACTTCACACTGGGGGGAAACTGGGGTTCTTTTCACTCGCTTTTGTCTCCTGCTACCTGTGAGCATCAGAGCAAGGATTTTTCTTTATTTGTGGTTGACTCTCTTGTACCCAGCACAATGCCATGTACACAGCAGGTGTTCATATTTGTGTTTGATGATTGAAACAATGTCTTGGGCCTAAGTTCACGTGCGAATACTTTTTTACAGGAATGTTTCCTGCAGTATAGAACTGTTTATTGGGCCAACTACGTGTCTACTAGGCACTAAACCCTGTGCCTGTGTTCTCTCATAAATCCTCAGAACATCCTGTGAGGTAGGTATTAGAGCAAATTTACATTTGAGAACACTGAGGCCCAGAGAAGTTAAGGAACATATCCCAGATTACAGAGTTCTAACTGGTAATCCAGACAAAGCTATTTCTAGACGACTCCAATTTCCTATGTTCCTTTCCAATTCGTCGTATTTAAAAGTGACACCATCAACGATGTTGCTTCCTTAGCAAAACTCCTCCCCACCCAGCCAACCCTCAGCAATATTTAGATGCAGGAGATCTCAAAGTTTATGTGGCAAACATACTGGAAATTCTTCAGCAATATCAGATCACTTAGAAAGGTTTATATGTAGTGAGAAAACAGCCATGAAAGCTGGCAGGCACGCAGGAAAACGGGCAGGTCCTAAAACAGTGCAAAGGATCTAGCATTGTAGCCGGAAAGACGTGGAAGGACTTCATTTACTTTCACTTTCATAGGAATCTGTCTTTCTAGGAAACATGACCTTGTTATGTAGTAGCGTTCTTTGTCCAGAAAGACAGGAGAAAGGCTAAGAAAGAGCTGGCAGAGGGCCAAGAACTGCATGGCAATATGGACAAAACCAGGTAGGAAAAGGATGCCAAGCCAGGAAGAGCGGAGCCCTATGGCCCAACAAAGCTCTTCCTGAGCCTCATTCAGCTGCTCTTCCTACACCCAGAGAAGTAGAACTAGTAGGTAAACATCACAGGGAGACAGATTTCAACTTAGTGCCAGAAGAAACTTCCCCCACCCAGCGCTGCCCAAATATGGAGACTGGTGTCCTGAAACTAATCCACATAAGGTAAATGATATGAACTCTTTAACAATGAAGGGCAGTCGAGCCTTGGGTGGTGCAGTAAATGAGATGATACTGAGCACTTACTACAGTGCCAGGTACTGTGTGCAGCACTTTTTACCCTATGGGGTAAGGTCATTCATTCCACTTTTACTAATGCAGAAATTGCTCAGGGCTACAGGGAGTCACACCAAACAGTGTTTTTCACCAGTGATAACTGCTTCATTTCCTTCAAAATTGGAAAGTGTACCCTCTGTTCAAGTCATGAACCATTTGTCTCTGACACAATTTTTATACAAATATTTAAAACTTTCTTAGTCTCCATTTTCTGTTCTTTTGAGACTGAAGAGTTAACACTCCATTTTCCTGCCACCCAAACTTTTATTAGGACTGACTTAGTAAAGGCAAAAATTGAATGAATAAAACAATAAAAATTGCTGTACTATGCTTTTGATTGATTCTTTTAGGCTTTGAGCTGTTCTTAAGGAAAAATGTAAATTTTTAAAACTATCAAAAGTATTTAGAGGAAGAGACAAAGAAAGCGTAAAGAGAAATGGTAAATGAAAGCAAAGTTTACATGTTACTCTAAAGGTAGGTTGATATGGCAGTAAGTTGCTTCCATTTCTGCATAATCCAAGAGGGAAAACCCATCCTGCCTGGACCAAAACATTTTATAACTCCAACATAAGAACCTGAACTATTCCCACTGCACAAAGTATGCCAATCCACTATCAATAATTAATTTAAGTGCATTCATTAATTGGTAACAATGTCAATGGTGTAACTCTTTTGGATGTAACTCAGTGTCAGTTCAAGTGTAAGAACATCCCATTAATCCTGCATTAGGGAAGAAGAGAATCCTAAACTATTGCAATCCACACATTCACCAATAAACGATATTTCTGTCATGGCATATTGACCACCAAAGACAGGTACCATCAACAACATTTCCTTTCGGATTTTTTTGTTACAGCCAGACACTTCAAATTAACTGGCTATTGAAATTTAACTATAATGCTGCGTTTTTATGGCTGTTTTACCTTCAATAAGAATAAAATGTTTCGTGGCGTAGTTACCATGTCAAAACAATCAATCAGCCAATCAGCCTGACTAATACAGGATCTGAACAACAATGGAGAAAGGCCCTCTTCCAAGGGGGGGGGAGGGCGGTGCGGGTCACTTTCCCTGCTATGGTCTGGTCCTTTCCCATGACATATTTCCTTCTGATACTTCTGAGTGTGATCAGATATGTTTTATTTTAGGGGATAAAGTAATCACAGATTTATATCACATTAAAAAAAAACAGCAAAAACTTTAGAAGATTATTACAGCTTTTGTGGAAATACAACTTTCCTTGGTGAGAGGACTATTTCAAACATTCAAACTCCTAAAAATGTATAAGTTCTATAAACCTAGAATTCCTTTTCTATGAATTAACCTAAGGAACTGCTCAGATCATTATAAAGATGTATGTATAAGAATACTTGTAATAGCATTATTTGCAATTACTAAAAACCAGAAATTATCCATCTATCACTGAAGGTATGTTTAAATAAATTATGGTACTATCATGTATTAGAATACTATGGGTAACATTTAAAACTGATATACAGATATGTACATATGTGTGTGTGTGTGTGTATGTATATATCTCTCTACTGACACACAAAGATGACCATGATGTACGTTTACTAAAAAGAGCAGACCGCAAAACTGAATGTAAAATATGACTCTATTTTTTGTTGATATGTATATAACACAGATAAAAGACCAGGAAAGAAAGACTATAAAATACTATTGTTGGCTTTTCTCAAAGAGTCAAGATAACAATTCTTGTTCTCTTTTAACTGTTCTGCATAGTAAAATATTTTATAAAAAAGTTCAAACTATCTTTTATAAATAACACACTCAAAACAGTAAGTTTAATCCATTTCTTTAAAAATCACAGTAATGTGTATTGTTTTTGGCAAATGGGAAGACAATTCTTCCTTTATTGGATACCCAGTGCATCAGCAACTAAACACAGAGTACATGTCTACCCACATCATCCCCAAACCTAGTCATATGTGCTAGAATAATTCCACTGAAATGCTTACATACTTTTCTGAAATTCCTCCAGTTTTTTAACAGCTTCATCTCGCTCTTGCCTAATTTTGTCACACTGAAATGAGAAAAAAAAAACAGAAATGTTGTTTGTATCATAAGTTTGGAAAGGCAAGAAAGAGCAAACTTATAAGCAATTTTATGAAAAGAAGACAAAAATTAAAAATCTTGGTGGGGAGGGGTAGAGCTCAGTGGTAGAGCACATGCTAAGCATGCATGAGGTCCTGGGTTCAATCCCCAGTACCTCCATTAAAAAATCAATTAATTAATCAGTATTTTTTTAAATCTTAAAGAAGCACTAATTATATACCCAGAAGAGACAAAAACTCTAATTCGAAAAGATACATGCACCCCATGTTCACAGCAGCACTGTTTACAACAGCCAAGACATAGAAGCAACTCAAGTATCCATCAACAGATGAATGGATAAAGATGTATAATATACATACAATGGAATATTACTCAACCATAAAAAAGAATGAAATATTGCCATTTACAGCAACATGAATGGACCTGGAGATTATCATATTGAGTGAAGTAAGTCAGAGAGAGAAAGACAAATATTATGTCACTTACATGTGGAATCTAAACAATACAAATGAGCTTTAAACTTACAAAACAGAAATAGATTCACAGATATAGAAAACAAACTTATAGTTACCAAAGGGGAAAGGGGGAAGAGAGATAAATTAGGGTACAGGATTAATGGATACACACTACTCCATATAAAATAGACAACAAGGATTTACTGTATAGCACAGGGAACTATATTCAGTATCTTGTAATAACCTATAATGGAAAAAAAATCTGAAAAAGTATATATATACACATACACACACATACATACAACTGAATTACTTCACTATACACTCGAAACTAACACAATATTGTAAATTAACTACAGTTCAATAAAAAAGAAAAAATTTTAATTTTTAAAAAGGAAAGTAAACATATACAAAGAAATAGAAAAGCATTAAAGGCCACATTTGTATCTGTCCAATTTTCTCTGACCTTCTAATACAATGACTCACCTTCCTGCTTATTATCTCCTCAGTTAACAGACCAATTTAACATCCTTGAGTTAAAATGTATTCATTCTTTAAGACAATATTTGTGCCTCTTTTAAATTAGGTATTTTGGTGATACAATGAAAACCTACAGGTCAGATTCCTGAAACTGGGTAGTTTCAACTACCCACAAAACTGGGGCACACTGGAAATGACCACTACCTGGAGACAAACAGCTTGCTGCCCCACGCACGCCCCATGTGCTCTCTCACTCAAAAAAAAAAAATAAATCCTTGAATCCCTAGAATGCTGAATAGGAGAAGGTAGCAACGCAAAAGGAGGGAAGATAAAATATTCCACGGTAAGCATGTATCATTTACACAAACCGATTTTTAATTTTAAAAGGTGGGAAGACTCACTGAAAAGACTTTAGGAGGTAAAGTCTGATATCAGGAGTTAGAAACTCTCTTACTGCTAGTGGAAGCGTCAACTGGCGTAAGTGCTCTGGAAATAAACTATCAAAATTGGAACTGTGCACACTCTAGGACTCAGAAAATTCTACTTCTAGACTCTATTACTAGACTCTTTAGTAATGTGTACAAGATGATCTATGCAAACATGTTCTGTATTTAGAGTAACAAAAATAAATCATGGTCTATCTGTATAATACAGCATAAATGAAAGTGAAAGAAAGAAAGTTGTATCAACAATAAACCTCAAATACCATAACGCTGAGTAAAAGGAATTGTAGAATATATATCAAATGGTATCTTAAGCAGAGAAAAACACTTTTTATATTTATATTGTATCTGTATATTTTGTGATACATGTAGTATATATAAAAAATACAAAAACATGAACTAGGAAGATACATAAAAAAATTGATGTAAGTAAATGTCTCCTAAAAGAGGAGAAGGGGTCTAGACTTGGGCGACACAGGGGCTCTTCAATTTTATCTGTAGCATGCCTTCTTATTTTTAAATTTGAAAAAGGTAAGTTAATTCTGTGGGGTACATATTTGTTATATTATTCCCTGCCCTTTTCTATGCTTTTAAAATATTTGTTTAAATAAAAGAATTAAGAAACAAACAGTTCAATTTTGTCCATTAGTCTCTCAAGACGTGAAGCTTTTAAAAACCCACCTCTGTTCATTAGGGTAAACCCATTCTGGTTGGAGCACAGGAAACAAGTACACGGTGTTCAACTAGCAAAGCGATTTACTAAACCCTGACCTCGACCCTCCACGAGAGGGGTCAGGCAGAACCAATTCCTACAGGACAAGGCATCTTCTTCTTTCATTCAAGTTTTCCTGTGGAAATGTAAGCTCTCTAAAAAAGTAATCCTAACACAGTTTCCAGTCCCAACTTAACAGGTAAACTGTATTTACTGTCTTTTTGTGTTTAAAATTCTCAACACTCGAGTTCTGAATTCTCGAATCAGTCTATGAGATCCTTCCTCCACCAGACAGTGTAACACTTAACTTTATGAGGGTGCTGCCAGCTGTCTCAGGAACGCTCCCCTCGTATTCTAGAATATGGCATCTGTCTGTCTTGTACTTCCCCACTGCACTGCCAGACTGCCCACCCATGGCCATGCTCTCTGCTCAGAAGGCCTGGGTAGACAGGCTTTAGCTAATAAAAGTCGCAACACCACACTCTTATTCCAACATTCAAGAGCCTCTATGGTCCAGCTATATGCTTTCACACTAACCCTACGGTCACCACCAGCAGATTCGGAAGCTGTCTCGTAACACCAGCTGTGTTCCATCAGGGGTCTTCATGTTGCTTTGCTTTCTATTTTCTGCAACCACATTATGATAGAACTGGCAGCCACAGAATTTACCATCTGCTATGGATACTGAAAGGGGGTGTGTGCTGGGGGCGGGGGGGGGGGCGCAGGGGCAGGAATTTTACACATGCTGCAAATGCAACTTATTTATTCCAAACCAGAGCTGAGCAAAATATGAAGGACGTACCTGTTTACTAAGCAGAAAGCCAAACATCTACTTATTTTTCTGGATTCACCTAAAATGATGAAATATCTTGTAACCTTTCTCTCATTCTACCAAGAGAGAGAAATTAGCAAGGATTCTGGGCCTTTTCGGAAGAATGTTAGTTACATCTTTATGTCTCACAGAAGCCCCACATCCATCCTACCCCTTCCCTTTCCCCTGATCACGCAGCTGCACCATTTGTAGAAACTGCTTCTTTTTGTGTGAGAATTGCTCATGAAGACTTTGCAATAGCAACAGATGTTCTTGGGCCCACAGCACTTAATTATGATGCTCAACGATTCTCTGTAGCTCAAGGCTGGGGTAGAACTCAGCAGCACGAGCACTGGCTGGTTTAAGCAAGCTGGGTAACGTTACACATATTCTAGAGTCTCTATTTTGGCTCTTCATGAAGTGGTGAATTGGCCAGAGGTTAGCCTTGCTGGTTTTGAAAGCTCTTAGTATTAGAAGCGCTGGCTGTTTTCCAGAACTCTTCCTTGAGTCTCATCCAGGCAGATACCTGGCTTCTGAAACTAAATCAGCATTTCAAAGCATTGGCAGACTGATTTGTAGGGAGAAGTCTTTCCAGTGTGAACTGACATTCCCCTCTCCCCCACCAAAATGGGCAGCTCCATTCTCTCTCCCGCACATATCATCCAACTCCTGTTTACACTAAAATGTCTGCTTAACAGGGCGCAGCAGAAGTACAGACAACTGATGCAGACACTAAGACATCTTTGTATTTTGCTGTGTGTATATTTTAGGCAAGGAAACCCCCAAGATTCTGAATTGTGCTTAACTTCCGCTAACATAAATATTCATTTTTACCTCCATGGAGCACAAGTGCAATGAAGGGTTACCAGCCTAGAGAGAGGCCAGTTTGGGGCCCAGGAAGCACACACATGCACTGCACATACACAACAGAGGAGACAATCTACACAAAGACAACTACCTTACAGTTGACTGAATTAGAGTTCCAAGCAGGTATCTACTGCAATCACTGAATGCCTTTATTTCCTTCCTCTGAGTATTAAACAAATTACTTACACAGCACCTACATGTGCCAGGCACTTTGCTAAGCACCAGGGAAAATATGGTGGGGAACAAAATAAGCAATGTGCTCTCACAAAACTTATGATCTTCCAAGAAAGGTCAACAATGAAACAAGCAACATATAAAGAACACTTGCTATGAGAGAAATACTGCACAGGGGCACAGAGCAGAGGCTGTAACACTAAGTCTGAAGAGGTCTAACCTCACACCAGTTTTTATTTACTTTTCTTGAAGTTCATTCCTTTGATGTTCAGTTACAATGTTTAAACATTTAAACAGGCATAGCATCAGAACTGTGCATGTTTGCCTGTTTTAGAATCTCTGGTGATGCAGTTCAAGGACCATCAAATCATTTTTAATAAAAATCAATTCTGTTGTCTCATTTATGTAAGTTTGGCTAGAACTCAGCTGTGCTTATCCTTAAAGAATACAATAAATTAAATCATTCCCACTAGGATGGAATTCCTTTCACTTTCTTTCTCTTTTGGTGGTGTTCTTTCTTCCAATTCAAAGTTCTTTCCCTCCAATTTTCACAGGCAATAAAGTAGTAGCTGCCCCCTAAAGCTGTCTTACAGCATTCTCTAAATTCTAGGTATTGTGTGTTAGATGGAAACACATGTCATCAGAACAGAGATCCTTGCTCTTTGTTTCTGGATAGATTGCTGTTAATAAGAGACTCATTTTCACTTTCAAACTGCTAAGTAATTACTTTTTCTCTGGCACGACCACTTGCCACTCTGTTCTAAAGAAACTGCATGTATGTGAATGTATTATGCATGAACAGTTAGCATAATGGATGCATATCTTGCTCTTTAAAGTGGCTTCTTTACTGATTTTTTTTAAATAAAATACTTTGGGACCTTCACCTTTGAAATTTACACAAGAGGAAGAAATTTTAACAATACACAACTGAGCCAAGATGCAAACAGTATCATCTGTCTTGCTTCTTGAAACCTAAGTCTTGGAAAGTGTCTGTCTCTTTCCCTTTTCATTCATTGCTCCTGGCAAGCTGACAAAACGCCTGATGCACTGTTACAGCAGCTCACCCAAACGACTTCTAATCAGCCACTTAAACATTTATTCATTTCAAAACTCGATCTCAGGACATAATATTAAACATAAATACTTACTGTTCAAAGCAGACATTCTTCTATTATATAGATTTCCTTCTTTCTATGCACACTCCACACAAACCCCTACCACCCTGAGAAATGTGAAAGCTATTCCATTAAAAGCTCAAAGAGGCACTCCTCCCCCATATAGAAAAAAAACCCAATTATGACAAAGATCCTGAATGAGTCATAAGAGAATGCCCTTCAATTGTAGAAGCATGACTAACATTTAAATATGACTGTTTTGCAAGCAAAGTAAAACTTTATCTGGTTAATTTCAAAATATATAGTCCTCTATTTTTCTAACCCCAAAATAATTTGGAAAGGTTGTCGACTTCAATGTGACAGGCCTTCTTACTTTTTAACACACTGTTGATAATGCTGTTAAGAAACTAAGTAAAAAAATAATGAAAAGTAGCATCCTTTCCATAATCTCCACTTTTTGTGATGTCAAAAAAAAAAACCAACTAGAAAAAAAAATGTTTTGAATTTTAATTCAACCCATACAACTCACTTGTACCCTATGTAATATTTTGATAATGAATTTTGGTTGATAAAATGTGATACATGCACAAGAAACAAACAGATGTTTTATTACAAAGAGGAAAACAATTAGTTCTGCTTGTGAGAGAATTAGAAGACTGAAAAAAAAAACTAAGTGACATTTAAGCCAAGCATTAAGAGATAATAAGAGTTTGTCACATGGAATTGAGTAGAAACCTTGTCTTTTTGTTCTTTTCCCATCCCACTCTCAAACTCTAAGCATTCACTTATAACAGCACAATTTGTCATAGTTATTTGTCAACTTGCCTGTGTCCCTCATTAGAGTAGTTTTACTCAAGAGTGGGACCTTCGTATACTTTTCTTTATATCCCAGTACTCAGAGGCATTAGCAAAAAGTTTGCCCGTAAAAAAGCTTCCCTTATTCCATCTTGATTCTGATTCCATCCTCAAAGACATTGATAAAAACCATGAAAGGATGAGAAAAATTACATTTTCCTTAAAAAGGGAGAACTGCAAAGGAAAAGATCATTAAAATACTGGCCCACCCTCCCAAATCTCCTACTCTTATCCTTGGAAGGTATTATGTCAGAATCTATACACATGCACACACACACACGCGCGTACACAAGAATGTTTCTGACGTAAGACCGATTTTATGTTTAACTTTCAGTTTTTAAATACAAACCAATAGATGGAGACAAATGATCCAGAAAAGTATTGAATCTGATAATTTGCTGTGGAAAATTCATGATCTCATTACAAAAAATTAAGAATAAAACCAAGACCTTTGTGGAAAAAAAGTCAATTAGCTCCCATAAGTTTACCTGCTTCAAAAAGCACATTTGTGATCTGTGAAACAGAGCTGACACAGGGCTGTTTGGAGCATCAGATCAAGGAGATAAATGAATGTACATGACCCACTGTAGCTTCTTAATAAAAGTCAATCAAGCACCTGCTTGTTATGAAGAAATTCATACCCTACCACTTGTGCCAACAGAGGAGACTCCAAACAGGGCATAAAAAGATCTTACCCAAAGGAATCACACCCACTGATAAGGTTCATAACCTGACAACAAAGATGGTTAGATGTAATGTGGACAGATGGAAGGAAAAAACTTGCAATTTATTTTTCTGATCCCTTCCACTTGTGCAAAATTTCCCCACATCAAATTAACTATGGCAATAGGAATCTTACTTTAGATTTCTATCCTTGATTGGTTTAACTGAATTCTGGTTTGGGGTCACGACGTAAGAATGGCCATGGATATTTGCTGATATGAGATGGACAAAGCTCACCCAGCCAGGCACAAGAAAGTGCTCTGCCAGAGAAAATGGTATTCTCCATTTACCACCTCCGGAACTAAAGCTGCTTTTACTCATTCTATGCTGTATAAAAAGGCTTTTATTATAGGCTTCCTCCCTTTGTAATACGCACCCCCACCTTTGGGGAAAAATCTGCAGTAATAAGCCTGCTAGTCTTTTAACAGAAGACACACAGAGTTCAGTAAACTTAAAATCATTCTATTTTGTTTTACCCACACAGCATTCCATATTGCTTTCACTTCTTTTCTTCCCATTTCCATTAATAGTTATTTTTAAAGAATTAGAAGCCTGTCAATAACGCATCCAGATGTATGTAGGACATACTCTGTGTAGAGAAGCACATAAGCAGGCAACGGGCTAAGGTAATTTTTAACCCTTCTTTTACTAAATGCATTTTACCTGTAAATTACTTGCGTAACAGATGGTTCACTTAAAATCTCACTGCAGAAAGTGGCTCTCAGTTAAATAACCATCATCATCAACAATACATGTTTATAAAACATCTACTATTTTTAGGGCAATGCTAGAGCTACAAGTAAGCAAGGATTAAAGAAGCTGAAGGAAAGAGAAAACAAAAAATTTACTTCTTCCTCTTACATTATTCATGTTCTTCCATATCCTTCTTTCTCTATCATATGCAGACACTTCTTTGCTTTCCCTCCTCATAGCTTCTAGGTTAAGTCACAGAGTCGTCCTGATTTAACCCTTCCAACTTGTTTTGCTCTCCTCCTCTTGGACCAGGAACATCCATGGAAGAGCCTCAATTGACTGATAACTCCTTAGCTCTTTCTCTTAGAGCTGGAAGACGGTTGGGTATCTTAGGGAAAGAGGCTCAAGCTATCTGGCTTAAACATTACCCATTAGCTTCGCTTGAAATTATGGGGCATGAGGGACCCAAGATCTAAGCACACACTCCCCACCTATTGGCATCCTCAGGACATCTGTGATTTGGGGTGGTTATCGTGTTAGAATTAGAAATCTTGTCAAACTATTTTCAGTGACCTTCTTACCATATTAGAGATGTATGTACCAGACACCTTTTCATGGATATTTTCATCACGCCAACCTACCATTCCCTGAATTGCCTGACAAAAGGAAGAGAAGATACTTAAAATTTCAAAGAACATCAAAGATTTATTTACAAATCAGCTAAGGAGCATGAAAACTGGGTGGAAAATAGTGATCTAAAAAAGCATTATAATCTGCTTTGAACTAGAGTACTTACCATTAATATCACCAACCATATACTACATCTATATAGGTGGCAAATTAACATGAGTAAAAAAGTTAAATATTATTCTCAAGAGCTCAATAAATTCCCCCAAATATGCCACAAGTTTTACAAACATTTAATTCACTGCCAATTTTCATTACAGCTCTTAGCACTGAAATTTTAAAGATGAGGTTGCATAATTTACAGCAATGACGAGTACCTTAATAACCACAAACCACCTGTTTTATTAAATTTCTACCATGGACACTATGTTTTGAAATATTTGTTCTATCAAATTTCTAAAAGTAGGCATTTTTAATTTCTAAAAATAAATTTCATTTGTATCTAAAAAATAATAATGGACAGTTCTGCTCTCCCCCTACTTTTCATTTCTATTCCGTCCCTGTACTTTTTTTAAACTTAGCCTTCCCATCGATTTGTCCCCTTCCTAAACTCAGAGAAAAAATATACATAAACATGAATCTTAAATGAACATCTTCAGAGACATAAAGGTGAGCAGAATTCAATTATTTAACAGTTAAAAAATAAAACCGCCAGAGTTACAGAAAATATTCACCAGGCTTCACCATCTTCAGACTGAGTTTTTTTCGACTCAGTGTATTATTCACATAATTAGAGGAAGCAAACATACAAAGGGTTAATGGAGGGATTGGAGCTAAACACCGATGACCCACCCCAAAGGGTTCTCTCCAGATCTAATATGTCTAAACCCCAAAGGCAAACGTCTCAGGCCTTCAATTCCACCACTAGAATCCCAAATCTGACTGCTGGAGAAAAGACAATTCTTCAGGGCTTGAGTTGCTTGGCCTGGTGCCTTGCTGCACATTTAGCTGTGTAGTTAATCTCACAGAGTAGCGCCCACTGTGGCATGCCTGCTATTCTTTACCATCTGGAGCTTGGAGTTGATATTAGCCTGAACCACAAATGCAAGAGAAAGGAAACAAAACCCCCCCAAAAAAACCCCTCATTCACATTTAACTGAAATTGGTGGCAGAACAATGCACCATGCCGTCTACGCTTTTATACATGTAAGAGAGGAAAGAAAGGGGAAAGTACAAACCTTCTCCTTTGTTTTCTGGTTCTCTGCTCTAAGGTCTTCATATTCGCCTATTGCTAAAAGGAAAGAAAAAAAAGGAAAGCAATGTTATAATGCTATCAAAAGTTTACTATGGGAAAACCTGAGAACCCAACTAACCCCTATTGTCTATTTACTACTTGCGGGGTGGGATGGAGAAGAGGCCACAGAAGATGGGCTCCTGCTTTTAAGAATAAGGAAGAAAACAGACCAGAGCATATGTGAGTCCACACGCCAAATTTCGGTTCTCCTGGGTCACAAGGAAGACTTATGAGCCATAAGAGTCTATGACAAGTCATGTCTCATCTCTGATGCTCAGCATTTAGTCCTGTGAAAGGAGACAGGTGGGTGTTCCTTGAAGTTCCTTCTAGCGCGATTAGTCTGTGGTGCTATAATCAGGGGTTTACTTGTTAAAACTGGCCTCCAGAAAATAAAGTAGGCTTACCCATTCAACTCAATGTCACACGTCTGCTTTATTCAAAGAGCAGCAAGTTTATGCTATGAGCATTCAGCAAAGAGCAAGTATTTTCAGGCACTGCAAGATCAACAATCACCAAGCCATGATCAGATCCCAGCCAGATTCACTTCACTAAGTTGGAAAAATAGGTGAATTGTTTGGAAATATTTCCAACTATGTGGAAAAAGTAGCAGTTTTCTACTTAGAAATCATCTACTACCAGAAAAATAATCTGAACCCCTATATTCATCTTTTAGCCAAAGCACCATTTTTGGATGTTCTCACTGTTGTGAATGTGATGTTCAGAGCACGTGATAGGAAGAAAGAGAATGATCTAGGATGAGTAATGGAGCAGAATGTCTAAGGTGGGCCCATCAGAAGTGCTGCCCATTCCCAGGCCAGCATCTTACTGGCACCAGAGAGCCAAGCAATCATCAGATTGGATTTTTATACTTTTACAAAATTTAAGGATTTATCTACAAAAAGCTCAATATTTCTTAGAAGAAAAAAAAAAAAGACAAACAAAGCTTCCTGTTTCTATGAAGAATCTCGAGATAGAAATAACAAATCTGAAGCTAGTGGCTCCGAGAACATTCCAGATAATCTGGTCATTGAATTCTAAGAAGTGTATGATGCTAACCACTGGAGCAGAGAACACGCCAGAAACAAGTCACATGGTAAAGTACATGCTGTTTCCTCTAACAGTGATCCAAAGGGTTCAGAATAGCTACTATGATGGCAGGAACGAAATCTTAAAATGCAATTCAAATAAACAATTATTTCTGGGGTTATACCATCAACGCCCTGAAGTTTTATCGGTACCTCACGACCATTTAAATAAGAATTAACAGACAATTTTACTGAAGCAATATCCAAAAAGAATCCTTGAAAATTAGTCCATAAAATAGCTGAATATACACAGGTAATGATATAGCCCTTTAAAAAATAATCACAGTTTCAACACAAAACATTTGACCACAGAATGAAGCACTCTCTGCACACCAGCTCCTTATCAGCCTCCACCACACAAACCCCAACCAATGAGTATAAACTAAATTGTCCTTGGTTCTGAGAAAGCAACAAAATTCCCCTCCCCCTCCTTTTTTAACAGAAAGAAACGAGAACTGAGATTCTAAAAAAAATATGCACTTACACCATTGGGTAGTCTATGGTCATGGTCCCAAATCTTATTACTACATCTAATATTGTTTCAAAAAATATATATTTTATTGAGAGACTTTGCTTTAGTTTGACATTTAAAAGCATCTTTGGATGCAGTTGAAAAGTCAAAATTGATTTGCCACTCTATTCTTGATGACTTACTTTATAGACACACAAAAAAACAATAAAGGCTTATAAAATCATGACCTCATATTGATCTTAAGAAAAATTTTTTTCTATTTAAAACATCATATAATGGCTATTAAGGCTTTTTCAAAAATACTGGTACTATTCTTCCATTATATTGCCAATAGAACCCAGATGAAACACTGTAGACTCCCAATTACTTTATGAAAAGCATTAATTAAGAATCCTTTGCCTATCACATCTTAATGGAAACCACAGAAAATATGCTTTCCATGACTATGTGCAACTTTAAAAGCAGCCAAGTATAGGGAAAGAAGATGAAAAGGAAAGGAAGAATTCAATCACTTGGTACTGGGACAGGGCACTTGGGGAGAGGGCATAAAAGAAAAATACTTACTTATATTTTAATTTCTTTGAAATTAAAAAACCAAGCTCACTGCCCTAAACCATGTTCACACATACACACACACACACACACACACACACACACACACACCCATAGTGACTACTCATGTAAACCCATCTTCAGCAAAACTGGTAAAAACTGAAGTGACCTACGTTATTCAGCTACTTCATTTTTGGCAATACTAAAGAGTCACAAGGAAACTGTTTCAAAACTGGCTCATAGGTTCAAAAATTTTTAACATGAGTTGCACAGCTCAAGTGATTTGGTGAGAAAGATCTTCCAAATCTTGAATTAATCAATGCAAAAAAAGACATGAACTTGACCAATTCTCCGCCATATGAAAGATATCTGCAGGTTGGGAAGACTTCATCCCTTGGGTTTACAGATAACAGTAGACTGCAAAGGAAGGTCATATACCACAGCACATACCATTAAACAGGGCAGCCTAATCCCAGCCTGAGCACCTCATTTCGCCAAGGGGCCTTGGGCAAACTGGTTACTTTGACTGAGTCTCAGATTCCTCATGGTTATCAGTAGTAACTGTACGTCTCTCATAGTGTTGTCACTAAGAGCAAGTGAGCTAACGTGTAAGATACAAGTGTGCTCAGGCATAGTAAGTGTTCAATACGTGGTGGCCATCGTTACTATCACTGATACAGCAAAGTATGCCAGATCTACTGTGCGTGACGACAGATTAGGCGGCTCCCGAATGCCTTAGGTTTCAGGCTTACTTCTGTCACACGTGGCCTGAAAGATGGCAGAGCAGAAAATCCCTGAAATCTTCAGTATTATTACTCTCCACCAATTAAAAGGAGGAGAGAGGGGACTAAAGATCAACTGCAGTTTGTTTTACTGAGAAAGAAAGTAGCAAAGAAGTGAGGAAGCGTACCTAAAGCTGTACTTTTCAATCCCGGCTGCACGTCAGAATCACCTGAGGAGCTTCTAAATCCTGCAGCTGTCCAGTCCCCTCTCCACCTATTCCCAACCCAAGATTCTGATTTAACTGGTCTAGGGTGGACTTTGGGCATCCTTTTTTTTTTTTTTTTTTGAGAAGTAAGCACCCTAGGGGATTCTAATGTGCAGCCGAAGAGGGGACTCACTACACAAGGGTATAGAATGGAAGAAGTGGAAAAAACAAGGAGAATGTCAGGCAGCGCACGTGTTTGAAGAATCATGCTGGTTTTCTATTTTCTAACTCCCTAATGCTAAGAAAGGGAATTTTTTCCAAGATGCCAATCATGACATAGCCAGTCCAGGAAGCAGCTGAGTAGACTTAACTGCTTGAGAAACATGATAACCGAAGTCCATAACTACAGGTCAACAGCACCTCTGGCAAGAGTGAACAACAGTTTGCATGGCACTTCCCTAGGTTTAGGACTGAAGAGTCCAGTGTCCCTGGAAACCTCTCAGTCCCAGGTAGCTTAACGCACGTAGCTTAGCCCCAGATCATTATTTCCAACCAGTACTTTCCAGACCCACATTGTCAAATGTGGTAGCCACTAGTCACATGTGGCTATTTACACTTAAATTAACTAAAATTAAATGAAATTGAAAATTCAGCTCTTCAGCTGCACTGACCACATTTCAAGTGCTCAACAGCTACATGTGGCTAGTGGCTCCCACTGCGGATAGTAGACACAGAACACTTCCATCACAGCAGAAAGTTCTACTGGACAGTACAATTCTGGACATCTCTGTCCAGATACCTTATAAGCACCTCAAACTCAACATGTTGGAAAGTGAACTATCAATTCCCTTTCACTCAAACCTCCTATATCCTGTTTGCAGGATCATCATCTACCTAGTCCCCGGCTAGTACCTCAGAATCACCCCTGATTCCCCACTTTCTTCCACCTCCAAAGGATCATTAAACTGCTAAGATATCAAAATGTCTCTCTAATCTGCCCTTCCTCTATAGGAATTGCTGCCCTAATTATGACCCTCAATAACGGCAAAAACCTTCTTATCTAGCCTCTAGCCTCCCTCTATCCCAAGTTCATTATTCGCAAGGTGAATAGCACTATAACAAAGTAACCTAGTTATTTCATTCTCTTGTTTAAAAGCTGCCAAAGACATCAGCTTCACTCTCCTCTCACCATTCAGCTTCAGAGACCACAACTCACTCCATCACATCCAAAGCCCCAATGCTTCCCTGAATCCTCTAAGACCTTTCATATCCAGGAGTCTTTACAAATATTCTTCCCATCTTCCCGACCTCCTCTTTTCAATGCAATTCAACTGCCATTTCTTTTAAGAAGCTCTCCGCATATACCTCAGATAAAAATCAGCATTTATATGTCTAATAAACTACCAGAGTACAATGCTGTTCCTATGTCTCTCTTAGAGCATGCAACATTATAAATTGAGCACAGGCCTATATTCTTGTGCTTTCTCCCACTCAATACATTACTGTATACCTCACACCTAGCAGAATACCAAGCAGAGTTCATGCCTATGATGAAAGAATAGTTGGTTCATATAAATCTGTGATGTAGGGCAATTAAGCCAAATATTAATGCCCCCATTTTTAAAAATTTGAAGACACAAATACATAGAAAAGTCAAACCCCACAGTTAGAAATGGTGGAAGAAGAACCAGTCTACTGATTCCCAAAGTCATTCATGTAAAAAACCATTTCTGAGCATTACTGTGTGCAATGTGCTAAAGCACTAGACCAGAAACAACCCTCTAGGGTGAAGACTGTCTTTCTGCGTCCAGACGCTCTCTCTAGCACAACGCCTGACATACAGTAGGCATGTGATAAACGTGTGTTAAATTAACGAAGAAGGAAGAAAGGATCCAGGGCTTCACGTGAACAAATCATGAAAGAGCACATGCTCTCCTCCTCATATTACAAGGATCTCTTT